TCAAACTGTCAGTAGCATTCTCAAAACGCTTTTCGACTAATGCCATTATAATTTAGAATTCTGATGTGGACTACTTTTATCTAAAGGTTTTTTTTTTTGTTTTTTTATTTTATTTTTGCCTCCAGTGAAATAAAATGATTTGAAGCCTAATGAAAATTAGAAATTACTAGACGGACTATCAGGAAGAATCCAGAATTTAGTCTATAGGGACTCAAGTGCAAATCAGTAGTCAGGTTTATTGGTGACCTAACATCCTCTGTATGATACAGGAAACACCACACAGGCATACTACTGGTGCGAACCTCTTCTCAGTCGCAGCCACAGTCAGTTTTCTCCTGGAGCTCCTTCTCTGTCATCAAGATTTGTTTTGGAAAAGGATGCAGCCTCCCATGTCCTGTAAACCCTTCCTCGCTGTCCCTGAAATATTTTCTTTTCATTATAAAGTTTTAATGCTGATCAGGGTTTCTCAACTATGGCATTATTGATATTTTGGTCCTATGATTTTCGATTGTGGAAGCTGTCCTGTGCATTCAGGATGTTTAACAACAACTCTGGCCTTTACCTACTAGATGCTGGTAGTGCTCCCTTGCCAAAGTGCACCAAACAAAAATTGAAGACATTACCAAACGTCCCCTGTGTGGGATTGGGGGACAAAACTGTCCCCAGCTGAGATCCACTGCCTTAGATGATAAGGAAAAGGACAAATGATGGTTATAAATGCTTCTGTCTTTTCATCTTTCTCGTAATACAAGGCAACGTGATTTGGGCTATAATCTGGGATGTGAATGCTAAGCTTGTCTTCGTCCTGTACTTGCCAGTGACCTCGAGCTAATCTTTTTAAAAACTCTTGGAGCCTCCAATGCCCATTTATATGCAATATGAAAGAGGATCTCCTTCAAAGTCGTTCACAGTTTAGTGAGCAGATAGAAGTAATTTTATTTTATTAAAATAAAAGCTTTAAGTTTAAATTAGTGGTTTCTCACACCTTGGTAAGGAAAGAGACAGATGTTGAAGCCTTTGGGTAACTTCCTATTAGATGTGTACATGTAATGTATCTTCCACAGGCATATATGTTGTTGTCCCAGGGAGAGAGCAATGCCAGCTGCCGGGCTTGGTGTTATCACCACCCTCTCTGAGACAGCACACCCATGCGTCCTACTTCACTCTTCCTCCTGGGTATGAAGTCATTTCAACCTCTCTCCTTCTTAGCTGTGTACCCACTTCGAAGTCCTAAAAGGTCTTACTGAATAAAGAGCTTCTCTGTTCACCCTTTGTATATGAAGACATGGTGAGCCATAAAGAGATCATTCCAGTACCACCGACTTTGTTGGAAACCTTAAAATGATCCCTGATATCCCAGGGGAATGCCACATTTCAAAACTCTCTTCTCAGTTGTTCCCAAACAAGATCGTATCCTGACCAACAAAAGCCCAATGATTACTTTGCAAGCACTCCAAAATCCTGTTTAAATACCCTGTATGAAAAGCTGCAGATAAAAGATTTTTATTGGAAACCTTTTTTTCCCATTTAAATATAAAACAATGTCCACATAAAACAAAGGCCGATATCTTTATTGCATGCCAAAGTAAAAGATGAATTTCTGTTTATTTGTAATCATTTCATGGAATCTAGCCAGATTTACAAAATCTAGAGATTTTACTTCTGGATGAAATTTTAACTGTTCAATTTCCTACTGTATAGTTTGTGAATAACCCAGGCTTCATGGTTTTTCTTCAGCCCCCTCCATCTTTAGCCCTTTACTACCACTTAGAGTGTCTTTGAGTATGGAAGGAAGAACTCAATCTCTTTTAGAAATTTCACTTTTCTTATTTTCTCTTAATTTATACAATATTTTGTAAATGGTCACTTCTGCATAAATGTTGTCAGCTTAACTGAACTGAACCCAAATACCTGGTGTTGGTTGTGGTTCTCACTGTCAAGTTTAGAATTTGTGTTGCATGAGGATTTAAATCATTCATTCCAAGGCTACTTCCTACTACTGTGAACTTATAAGACCAAACTTAACAAGATACTTTGTACCTAATAATGCTTCTTGAATTACTATGGCACATCCCAATATCCACCGAATCCTGAAAAAAGCAGATTCCTTACCCTCCACGAAAGCTGTGCAATGAGCTAATTGCAGGAGCTGTAAACCAGACAGATCTCACAGGTCATCACTACACACAGCCTGCCTGGAGCTTTGTGGCAATACCAGGGTAACCAAAGTAGAAGGCTAAGATAAAAATGTTTACCATTATTCTCCCAGATTCAGATAACTCATCATTTTCTTGGAAAACTGAATGTTACCCAGGTTTCTTCCTTTCCATTTGGCAAAAAAAAAAAAAAAAAAAAATCAAGCTTACTGGCACTTCACCCAAAGTGGGGTGGGCAGTGTAGGTTTCATGATCACGTGGGTGAGGCACAGAGGAGAAATTATTATCGCTGAGATATACTAAGTTCCAGAGGAAGCAGTAAGATTAGAATGATCCCAGGCACTGTGCTAGCATCTGGAGTCACTTTTCATCAGTTCTGTTTCAAAATCAGAAAAGAAAAAAAAAAATCACTCTTGAATCACACTCTTTTGCCATTTTATTTCACAACAATCATGGAGATGTTCAGTTATTATCTCCCACTATTACCAAACGCTGAAAACATGCCTCTGCAGGACACCGTCCTCAGCAGCTTTGTATGTATTATCTCACAACAATGACACAAGGTAGATATCACTCTCTACCCTTTTGCAGATAAGAACCCCAAGACTCAGTATTTGAAATGAACCCAAATCACAAAACTTATGCTATACACTGGGTTCTTCTCCACCTTTATAAAGCTCCCTCACCTCCAATGACTTCATCAAAGGTATCCATCGTCTTCCTGTGTTTTCTCTAAAATCCAGTCCACATACTCAGCAACTTTGGTGTAGACACCTGGTTGTTCACTGCGGGCACAGCCTTCACCCCAACTGGTGATGCCCACCAAATGCCATATTCCGTTGTGTTTACAAACTAAAGGACCACCTGAATCTCCCTGTATTACAGCGGGTAGAAAAGTAAAATGATAGAAGTTTATGACAGACGTGTCCTTAAAATTCTGTAGTCACACCACACACATCCAATTTTTTATAGATCTTCAGGTATCTCATATGCCTCATTAGTTGTTGGATGTGGTAAAAATGATTTAATTCAATAATGTATTGTCCAACAAATAAATTTTTATATCATCATTCCAATGTCAAATAAATCTAATAATCTTATATTTTGGTGTAATTATCGTATGTACAATATACATACATACACACACACACACACACACACACACACACACATATATATATAATTTCTTAGAAGTTACTTATATATCAATTTGTTAGAGGTTACTTATGAAATTATCAGATCATTTGGCTTAGATTTGTTTTTAAAAAAACTATAATGAAATATGCCATTGAGAAATATATTTTGAAATTAATTTTTTTGAGTAGCTTATTGTGTTTTTCACAACTGAATGATTACCTTACAAGCATCTTTTCCCCCTTCTTTATAGCCAGCACAGATCATCTGCTTGGTTATTTCATAATTTCTATATCTTTTCTGGCATTCTTCATTTGTTACCAAAGGAATATTTGCCTTTTGTAGAATATTTTGGATTTCACCTATGAAGTAACCAATATATAACTTTAAAAGAAGGACATACAATAAATATAGAAATAAGACTGAAGTCTTAAAGCAAATCAGAATGATGAACTTTGCATTAAGGTCATTTCTTTGGGTGTAAATACTAAAGGTGAAAAGGTAGAGTTACACAAAACAGGGAGAGAATGAGAGAGAGAGAGAGAGAGAGAGAACCAGCATTGGCCTCTGATGCAGTGTTAGGACAATCCAAGAACCCTGGTCTGATCAGAGACTTTGCTTCCATATTCTCTGCCATTCTCTTATCTCAATAAAAGTTTCTTAGAAATTCCCTCTTGCCTACAATCCAGAAGCCTAAAAGTGCTTACCTTATAGTGTTTATTTGTTTTATATGTTAACAATGATAATTTTAAAATATATAATTTTTGGAAAAAAATCCAAACTTGTGACAATAGAATATTTTCTTCTTAAGTAAATCCAAGTGTGTTTTCCATTAAGAACGATTTATTTACAAGTAATTTAATTTCCACCAGTGTCTGGGCTCCCCTTGGATATACGTTGGGAGTTTTCTGTGTTCAGTTATGGTTACTTTTAAATCTTTCTCTCTCTAGGTATTAGTCAAAAATTTGAAAAAGTTATATTAGTTGAATAAAGAACTGAATCAGAAAAGATGGAGAGATCTTGGTGTGATCTCTTTTTTTAAACAATGATACAGATATTATTCCTTATAGCGTCTATCAGAAACATAATTTTGGAAAGGAAAAATGATTTGTTCCTGAAAATTTCAAGAGCAATTGAAATACATCAAGTGTCCATAGTAGAGTTTTTTAACCTAGGGTCCATAGAAAGAATACACATGGTCTATAAACTTGAATAGAAAACAAATATATTCTTATTTTCACCAACCTCCAAACTGAAGTCTAATGATCCCTTCAATTATGAATGTAGGCAGGAATCTCAAAAGTATTAGCTGTACCTATGACTTTGCCATCAATACAAATCACAGATATTTTCCTATCGCTTTACAGTTGTGGCAGATAATGGTTATTATCATTCTTGCTCATCACAATTTCAAAGTTAGTTATTAGAACAACTTGATAATATATTAATAAAGAAGCACATGTATTCTTATATCTTTTAAAAAGTAGTTTTGATAACTCTCTTGCAATTTCATTGGTCGCTTTTGCAATCCTACATGTTTTATTTAAGCATTTTAAAATCATCTTTCAAGAACTGATTCAGAGATGGGAGGGGGGTTGGGAACTGAGTGAAAAAAGTGAAGGGATTAAGAAGTACAAATTGGTAGTTACAAAATAGTCACAGGAATGTAAAGTACAGCATAGGGAATATAGTCAGTAATATCGTAATAACTGTGTGGTGCCAGGTGGGTACTAGACTTAATGGAGGAATTACTTCATAAGTTATATAAATGTCTAACCACTGTGCAGAACATCTGTAACAAATATAATATCAAATGTCAACTATAATTGAAAATAAAAAATTTTTTAATTAAAAAAAAGTGGTTCACACGTTTATCGGATTATAGGAAGAAAAGATGAAATACTGCCATTTGTGATAATGCGAATGGGTCTTGAGATTAGTATGCTAGCAAAATAAGTCAAACAGAAAAAGTTGAGAACCATATGATTTCATTTATAGGTGGGATATAAAACTGAAAGCAACAAACAAAATAAAAAAACAGAGATTCATGGACATGGAAAACAGTTTAGTGGTTACCAGAAAGAAAGTGGGGAGGGAGGAGGTAAATAAGGGTAAAGGGGGTCAAATATATGGTGACAGAAGGAAATTTAACTTTGGATGGTGAACACACAATGCTATATACACATGATGTATTACTGAATTATACATTTGAAACCTATATAATTTTATTAACTAATGTCACCTCAATAAATTTAATAAAAAGAAAGATTATTGGAAGGATGCATTTAAAAAAGGTTAAAAGCCTGCCATACAGGGAGATAGTATGCTCCTGCCTATGCTCCTGATCATTAATATCAAGAGAGAACAGTGGCATTGGGAGATAGGAATGCAACTAATACCAAGGACAAAGTGGGCTTGAGTGGGCTTGTTAGCCCTATATCGGATCAATCTTTTATGTGAAGTCAAACAAATGATCTTTATTATAGAATAAGATGCTTAAAAGTTTACCTTATTAATTCTTCCAGGCCCAAGCAAAGCTACATCTTCTCAAGAATCACTAGATAAATACTTGAGAATCGACAGATTGGAAAAGTGAGTTTGGATGTAATTTTAGACAGAGGCCAATTGAACTGATGCACTCCTTGTGCTTTAACATACAAGATTTGCTTTAGGAACAACATTTAAAATGTGATACTATACCTCTTTCCTTTGTGAAGCCCCATCCAGTTATCCAACAGTTACTATAAATTGTATTTGTATCATCTTTGGAAGGGAGGCATATTGGTTTTTGGAATTCTGAAAGGTAATTTTTAAATTAGAGTTTGGTTAAAGTTATTGATGTTGACTTAAAAAATACATGCTTTCCTTTTCCCATATTCTCTTTCTAGAGTAACACCAAGAAGAATAATGCTGTTGCTTCCTGCTCCGTTTCTAAGGTCATTGATTCAAGAAAATTTCTTGCCATCAGAGACATTTCCACCTGCTATTTTTGGTGTTATTTTTCTAGATTAAATTTTAAAACTCAGAACCCAAAAGCACTTAGAAATTCTGTCTCTTATTCTGTGTATGATACTTTTAATCGTAATAGTAGAGTGTCTACACAGTCTCAGGCAACTTTTAAGTGCTTTAACTCACTAAGTGACTTAATTATTCAACTCGATGGGGGGTAATTATCATGCTCATTTTACAGGTGAGGAAATGTGAGGTGCAAAGACATAACAACAGCTTGCCTAAGGTCACAGAATTGTTAATGGTCACTGCAGGCATTCAGGAACTGTGAGTCATTGTACCTGAAGGCAGCACTTCCGACTGACATGTTACAGTCCTCCCTGAGCTCCTTCTGCATTAGTCTGTCTGCTCAAATTATACCTGGAAATTAGTATCTGATCCACTTATCCTCATATAGTTATCAATAAGCCTAAACCCAAACCAATGGTAATTCTGCTACACTTGTCAAAGAAAGCCATACTTCTCAGATAGCAAAGACATTTCTATGTCTATTATTTCAATAATGTATAAGCAGTTGTATTCCTACCTGAAAGAAGTAATTAACATTTCTTGCCCTTTAAGTAGAGATCTTATGTCAAGTCACAGGTCTCAGCTTCCCTGACAATCTTCACCTTTCCCTCAACTCCACCAGCCGGAAAATAAAGATAATCTCTGCAGATTCTGCTCTCTTTTTCAAAGTAATGTGAAAACTTAAATCAATGCCATTCAGCAGTCTAGCTTCTCCTTAAATGTGTTACGTACCAGTATAATTCAAAGGAGCTTCAAGCTTTATTAAGGCAATATCATGAGTACTTTCTGAGATATTATAATTTGGGTGAATAATAATCTCTTCTATTTGTGAGAAAGGTGTTTCTTTTGTTATCTCTGACAAATTTAAAATGCCACCATAAATGCGCCAAATATCCGAAAAGAGAAGCCTAGGAGGAAAAAATAAATACCTATTTGAAACCAAAAATGCTAGCCTTGGATATTGACCCTTTTTCCTTTCACTTTAACTTTAAACAAACAAACAAACAAACAAACAAACAAATAAATAAGTAAATACTAGGAAGAAAATACTATATCATGTGACATATTTTTACTTACCTTATCTCTCCTCTTTGCAATTTTTCATTAGCCAGCACTACTGAATCTCTGAAGATTTAGTTAATAACATTAAAATTATACATTTATGTAATTATTTCATGTTTACTGTAAGTAAAATTACAAGGATGATGCTGTCTCACTCTGAGAGAAATTATGATCGGGAAAGACTCTAGTAGTGTATCACAAGAAGACAATGCTCAGATTGCCAAACCTGAAATCAATTTCCCTCATGAAATTAAGAACTGTCAGGAAGTCAGACTGATTTTATACACCCCTTCTGTGATAGGGCAAATGAGGGAAGATGTCAGTGCTATTTAAATTCTTTCTATTTATATTTCCAGAAGTGTGAAATTTTAAATTAACTCTTTAAATATGAATATACAAAGTATACAAAGTAAATTTAAAATTATTATTTAAAGCAAAATCTTATGTTGTGTAAAGATATGGAAATATATATCACCAAATGCGTGGTCTCAGACATGCAAAAAACTCTCAAGGAAATAATGGAGACATTAGGTGAAAAGTGAATTTTTTTTTTAATTAGGTCACAGTGTCTCCATGTATATTACTTCTTATAAACACAACACTGAGCCTCCAAGAATTAACATAAATTGGTGCAGCCACTATAGAAACAGTATGGCCATTCCTCAAAAAATTAAAAATAGAACTACCTACCATATGATCCAGCAATCCCACTCCTGGGTATATATCCAAAGAAAATAAATTTACTATCTCAAAGTGATATCTGCACCCCCATATTCATAGCAGCATTATTCGCAATAGCCAAGACATGAAAATAACTTAAGTGTCTATCAACGGATGAATAGATAAAGAAAATGCAATGGAATATTATTCAGCCATAAGAAAGAAAGAAATCCTGCTATTTGCAACAACACAGATGAAACGTGAGGGCATCACACTAAGTGAAATAAGTCAGACAGAGAAAGCAAATACTGTATGATCTCACTTATATGTGCAGTCTGAAAACACTGAACTCAGAGGAATAAAGAGCAGATTGGAGGTAGCCCAAGGGGTGGAGATAGGGTGATGGCCTAAGGAGGTCAAAAGGTACAAATTTTCAGTTATAAGCTGAAAAAGTTCTGGTGGTATAATGTACAGTATGGTGACTATAGTTAATACTTTACAGTATACTTAAAAGTTGCTAAGAGAATAAGTCTTCAAAGTTCTCACCACACAGAAAAAAAATGTAACTATGTGAGGTGATGGATGTGTTGACTAACTTTATTGTGGTAATCATTTTGCAAAATATATATATCAAATTATCACCTCGTACACCTTAAATTTACACGTTATATGTCAATTATGTATCAATAAAGCTGAAAAAAAGGAAAGCAATTCTTGATCCCAATTAGAGTGCATTTAGTAAAAAGGGAAACAACTATTTCCCTTCACAGGCTCTTTCCTTCCAGGCCAAAAGCCTTCCCCTCAGCAATGCCGGGGGCAGCGGAGCCCTATCTAGAGGTCCCTGCTGCTTTGTGGCAACTCTGGAGAAGGCCTGCTCCACCCACTGTGCCCTTGACTGCTGTATTTCAGCAATAGCATCCTGAATCCTTGTACACAGTAACTGGGCCAGTCCTCTCAGAGAGGAAAAGAGGGGGAATTCTATGAAAACAAAATTACTGTTTGAAAGCAATCAAGTGCATTTTAGTTTTGGGTTATTAGTATCTCCTTCGCTTATTCATATGCTTTGACCATTTTTAATTTTCTTATTTAACCATAGCTTACATTTTTTGATTAATTTTTATGTTCCAGGTATAGTACTAAGCATTTTTCAATTAATTAATTAATTTGTTTATTTATTTATTTTATGCCTATAGCACCTGATATTCCCAGGTGGTCTCCCATCCAAGTTCTAACCAGGCCCGCCCCTGCTTAGCTTTCGAGATCAGACGTTCAGAATGTCATGGCCATAGACAGTACTAAGCATTTTAAGCATGTCACTTAATTCTTCTGATAACCTTATGAATTGGATACTATAATCATTCATATTTTACAGATAGAAAATAAAGATAAGAGATTTACAAATTGCTCAAGGTCATTTACACCCCTAAGTGGCAGACCTGTGAATCAAGCCCCATTCTACCTACAAAATCTAAGTGTTTTAAAATTTTTTAATCCTGTTATGTGTACTATTTGCCTGATAAAGTAGAAATATTACATCAGATTATAATAATTGAAATACATAGGGTAATAATTACTAATTACTATTAATATTACTTAGTACATCTGTGAATCTAGGGCCTGAAAAATCAGACCTTGAAGAATACATTGGGGGAATGGTGAGTGAAGGTGTCAGTAGTTAGGACACTTCTTAGTTATTCTTTAAAACAGGAGTGATATTTCCCAGGGAGCGTGAGTCCTATAAATATACCCCGCTTTGGCCTGATGGGTCAGATTGGTCAGTGCTCAGACCCTACTAGTCGTTCAACATTTTGAATACCATCTTTATCTTAAAATGTTTTTATTTAAAAACAATAACTTTCCATTCAGAAATTGACATGATAATAGATAAATTGATTATAGATTATTCCAAACGAAACAGCAAAATAAGAACTTTAATAAGATGTTGCCAAGACTTACCCATCAAAGCAGTGGGCAGCAGTTAGGACCCACTGTTTTTTAATGATTGACCCTCCACAAACATGCCTCTGGGCTGTCAGCTTCACTTGAAGGCTGACTTGCCATGGCCACTCTCCCCAAGAAGAGTTGGTCCCACCAACAATGCGGGTGCTTATTTTTGTCGTGCAGTCTAAAAAGAGAGTGTTGAAGTTAATGGTTAGAATTGAAGTGAATCAGAGTCCTCCTCTTCAGCCATGAAAAGACATAATGCATAATTCCATTACATAAGACTAAGCACGCTATGAAAAGGGTGCAGACATTCTTTTACAGTTCTATGAAAAAGTGAGGTTTACTCACCAGAGTCATCCCCAATTTTACACAACCTCAGAGAATAACCAGAGCTTGCTTGAGTCTCATATGTAATTCTAGTCGGGGAACCATCCATAGACAATCGTAAGGAACACTTACACCTAGATAAAATGACCAGTATAAAGATTAAACCTTCACAAAGGGACGAAGTTCGTGAAACTCTTGCTGACTGTCTGAAAAATAAATTTCCACTAACTTCTCTCCTCTACAGTCTTCTGGGAGTAAAGAATAAGTAAAAAACTGACAGCGAATCATCTTCGTACAAGTCTCTTGGCAATCACTCACTCCTTTAATGAAGATCGCATTCAATTCTTCCCCTCCAAAATCAACTCCTGTGTAAATTTTGGAATGGCAGGGCTCTGTGCCAATTATAAACATAAGAAGTTATAAAATGAAAGCAGCAACAAACCACAGCTACGCTAGTTTCTGGTACGTTGAGGATTGTTTCGTCACTATCATTTGTTAAAAGATCATAAAATTTGTCACATTTTATGGATTATTATTAAATCACATTACCAGGCAAAGTTCGTTTGCAGGTTAAAAGGCTATATCCAGATAGGGCGTTTTCCTGAGGAGTGGGAGAACTTGGTGTCCCGCTTTTGGAAGTCTTAAGTAAACAAACGTTTCTATTAAAAAAAACCAAAAAAACAAGAGAAAGAAATAAAACTGTATTAAAGGCAAATAAAAAGTACCCTTCAGAGTTTCTTCTGAGAAACTCTCTTCAAAGTAAATCAGACTGCGGGATTCTAATAAATTACAGAGACTAAATGTAAATCAAGCCATCTAAAGAAAAGTGATAAGCACAGATAACCTGAAAAGAAGAGAATGGTAAAGTTCCATCTTCTGATTGAAAAAAAAAAAAAAAGAGAGAGAGAACAAAGAACAAATCCTGGGGATTTATGCTGCTGATGCTATTATATAACTAAATATCCTTCTCTTAGCTCCATCTTGTATATAAAGGAAAGGGTGGGTTATCTGAAGATAAGAGATCAAACCAGAACCTTAATCAGGATAAATCAGGCTCTAGTTTCTGAAACAGAGGAGTTAGAACCAATGAGCTTAAAGGCTATGTTGCCAGCTAGTGATTTTTATTTCAAGCTAATTCAAAACATTAAGATCAGTTAGAAAGGTATCAGATCCTCCTTTTTCCATGGCTGTCGTTTTCTTGATTCAATAGTGAGTTTAAAGAGAAAGTAGGCTGAAAAATCTGCTAGTCTCTTTACTAAATCACACCTGGAAGAAAAGTACCCACTTAAACAGTGGGTTCAAGCATTTTGAGGGAAATGAACAAAACTTTAAAAACTCAAATGATAAAATTAAAGTGATGACAGGCCAGCAGCAACCATTACACATTCAAACTTACCTTTGTGATTCTACAGTCCAGTCATTTGTATAGAATGTAAAAAAGAGGCAGTTGGGGTGATAGGTGCAAATGACTCGACACACGAAAGCATCTGGAGCAGTAACTCTGGCAACATCCACATCCGAAAATTCAAGATGTTGAAACATGTTCATGTGGCACCCTGTGAACTCACGGAGGCAAGATGTTACTCAATAAACCATGCAATGCTTAATTTGCTTATACTTTCTTATTATAACTAAGGCAGTTATGACTATTTTTTACTCATAGAACTAAATATCTTCAGTGAAAAAATGTCAGTATATCCCAAACTTGTTTGTCGTTTAGAAAAATGGGTAGACCATTTTTTCTAAAAACATATCTCTTGAGACTGGAAGGGAACTTAAATGTTATCCATGCCAACCTATATCTACATCCTCTCAAGAATATCCCTTACCAGTTGTTCAACTTTTACTTAGCTATTTATATTGATAAGGAGCTCACTACCTGATGACAGGGCCCATTTCTTTTCTGGACCACTCTGTGCTGGGAATTCTTTTTTTTTTTTTTTTTCCATGATAGCATCTACCTAGCTCTGCCTCACAGAACCACAGACAAAGTCAAATCCCTTTCCCAATGACAGCCCTCCAAAAAAATTAAGACAGTCATCCTGACTTCTTTTTAGGTTGAATATCTTCAGCTTACTTCTTGAGCTTTTTTAAAAATGTATTTTCCATTACTTCTAGATAATATTACCACTCTGGTTACCCTGTTTTAAGTGCCCCAGTTGTCCATTGTTCCATACAAACTGTGGAACACAGAAACACAGAACTGAATACAACTTTTCAGTCACACTCTGAATGGCGAATGATTGCGATTGGATACAGTGTTTGTTTTAGGGTGATGAAATGTTCTGGAACTAGATAGTGGTCATTGTCGCACAGTTTTGTGAATACACTGAAAACCACTGAATGATATATCTTTAAAGAATTAATTTTATGGTATGTATTAAATTTTAAAAACCTACTATGAAAAACAATATATACTATATTGAAATATCAAACTTGAGAAACAAAGAAGATATGAATTAAATTAAATGATCATTACCATTTGCACCAATAAATTTTGTACACACCATGGAGGGGGTGTGCTGTGGCAGAGAGGAAACAAATAGGAAAAGAGATGCATTGCTGCTGACTTCCCAATCTTCCCCAAGGGGTCCTAGCCCAGCGCCCAATAAAGGGCTTGGCTGAGTTGGTACTTGACACTGTGTAGAATTGGTTATCAGTGGTTCGGTTTCAATAACAACTTATCGTTAACACCCTGATATGCTAAATAAAGTAGAATGTCCTGCCAATTTTCTGAAAAATTCAACTGAAATTACCTCTATGTCTGAAACTATAAGCCTTCATAGATTCATTATGCTAGAGTTATTTCATTAGATAATGGACACCACTGTCAATAGTATCCTATTGCTGCTTTAAAAAATAATTACCATAAACTTACTTGTTTAGAACAATGCAAATTTATTATCTCACAGTTCTGGAGATTAGAGGTCTGAAATGGATCTTACTGAGCTAAATCAGGATGTCAGCAGGGCTGTGTTTCTTGGGGAAGCTCTGTAGGAGAAACTATTTCCTTGCCTTTTCCAGCTTCTAGAAGCCATCTGCTTTCCTTGGCCAATGAACTCTTCCTTCATTTCAAATCCAGCAGGGTAGCATCTTCAAATCTCTCCCTCTCTCTAACTCTGATCCTTCTGTCACCTCCCTTCTCTCATAAGGACCCTGTGACTACATTAGGTCCATCCAGATCATCCAGAATAAGAGTCCTGAATTTAGTCACATCTACCAAGCCTCGTTGACCATGTAATGTAACATTCACAGGTTCCAGGGATTAGGATGTGAACATATATGGGGGGCTCTTATTCTGGCTACTACAATCACATAGTGAAATAGTAGGCATAGAGTTACCAATTTCTGAGAGTGCACAGGGCTTCAGTGAGAATCCAGATGCCACATTTTCCAGCACCTTTATACTGGTTGGCGTTCCTGTTGGACTGTGCTTTAATATGCAGCTGTTCCTGAATGAGAAGAAAAGAGGTTACTTTGCTTCCCCAAGTACAAGTTGTATGCAGTAGGGGTCCATTTTGTATTGAAATAATCCATGGTCTGTGAAAAATAAACAAAACAATCTGAACAATGTCTTTGATCATGAATAGGCTAAGAGTCTGCGTTATTGAGTAAATAGATTCCTTCCTCCTCTGCAGAGGGAAGATTAGGGTGAAAATAGGGTGCGAAACACTATTTTATAAGACATTATTCTACGAAATCTCCATTCCATAAGCATAGACTATCTGTGAACCAAATGGAAATTATTCTCTTCAGGAAAAAATGATAGCAAATTAGTAAATAAGGAGAGTGCTTTGGTTTAAAAGCTCTGGTTAGTTTTCAGTTGGGCAGGGTGGGGGGAAGGTGATGAAGAATACAATTAAATCATAAAATTACTACTGCACAGAACAAACACTATGAATTTTACTCACCGGTACTCTGAATTGTGAAATGTTTGCATGGCATATGTGAAAAATTTGCAGTGAATGCTATCGGTGCACCTTTTTTGGCATTCTTCAACACTTTTAACCCTAGATACATTAAAATTGACTCCTCTCATATCAATTCCTTCATAAATGTCTCTTTGGCAAGCTGTACAAAAAAAAAAAAAACGCATAAAGCAAACTCAGCCAGCTTCCCTTCTAGAAACAGATCATCAATTTGGGCAGTACGGTTTTGAAGGATAATATTCTGGCAGATGCCTTATTCATTAGGGGATTTAGAATTTTTATTACATCACTAAATTATCAAACTCTGCTTGAAATTAACACATCTTAATATGTTTTAGAGTACTAGCATGGAAAAGGGGTTATTTTGCTTCCCAAACTGCAAGGTGTATACAGCAAAACAGGTAATATTTCATACTGAAATTATCATTGTGCTGGGGGTTGCATACGTAAATAAACTGATGAGCTTTCAACCTCTTGCATTGAGCGAAGGAGCTTCTCTGTCTCTGTGCTTATTTCTTGGCTTTCAACTACTCCAGTATGATTGCAAATTATATCTGTAAACCCTGTTGTCGACATCTATGTGTCATATCATTATCATAAAATAGGAAGCGTTCTTATATATGCGTGAGGAAACCATTTTTATTCTTGCTTTAAAATTTTCTTAAACTTGGCTTAAGCATCCTTACAATTGAAATTTATCTTATATACAAAAAAAGATAGATAATTATTTTTACAGATAGTGAACCAAATTTATAAATTAAACTCTTTTTTTAAAGAATCAAAAATTTGTTAATTAGACTCTTGGTTAAGGAAATCAATAATATAAACCATGACCTAGTGTATGTAATTTTTCACTCCTAAGAGGTATGGTTGAATAAGTCATGAAACTGGATTTAATGGTGGGAATGACAGAAAAAGGAAAGGTTTAGAGAAACAATATATTGAAGTGGGCAGAGCAGTGGATCATTCATGGTGGTTCATGGACACAGGTTCATGCAGATTATAGAAATGGAATCTCTTTCCAATTCCACTGCACATGAGAAAAGAAACAGGATAGGATACTTACAAATCAAACTGTTTTTAATGATTAGTTGAAAGCTATCTCTAAATGTTTTAAACTAAAATTGGTCCTGTGTTTAGAAGCTTTATTTATCTAGGATCAATTTTTCACTTGAATTCCCTTTCAGTTGTTTGAGGAGAGTTAGAAGGGAGCATTAAATCAAGCTCTGAGAGTAGATTAATTTGGGGGGGAGAGGCAAAAAAAATATGGAGAATTTAGAAAGGCACAATATTATTTTTTCTTTAAATTTCACTCCGATATCACAATTTAAAAGATAACATAATTGAAAAATAATGCTTAATTAAATAATTTATGCTAAATTATATTAAGATATAAATTTGATCTTATAATAGAAAATGTACTCGTCCTCAGGTAAACTACATATTGGCTAAGTCAGGCCCTCATGTTTATAACTAAAGACTGCTTATTTTACAAACTACGGGCACAAAATGTGTGTGTGTGTGTGTGTGTGTGTGTGTGTAAGAGAATGACGATAGTGAGGGAAGAAAATAATGAAAAATTTATAAACATCTGAAATTTGAACCTACAAGATTAATTGTAGATAGGAAAGAAAAAATAGCAATGATGTATAGTCACAATATGGTTATTTTAAGGTTCTGTCAACCTATCAGTTAAGAGACTCTTTTCTGTACTTCAAATCAGTCAAGGTAGAGATAATTTGTTTGCCTTAAATTTATTAGGATAGGGTTGAAAATTGTTTCCCAAGGTATTAGTAGCAACAAACATCAGAATTAAAGTTTCCTGGTCTTCTAGTCCTCATATTTCTTCTGAGAAGAAATTTACAGAGCCCAGTCCTTTGGTTTGGGGTTTAACAAGAGTTTCTTAAACTCATCAGCACTGCCATGGTGGGGGGCAGAGAATTTTTGTCATGGAGCCTATTCTAGAAGGAGTCTGCCCTAATCTGCCCACAATTAAGCAAGCCAGAGGCATTTTTTTTTTTTTTAACTCACACAAAGAAACCAGTAGGCAGAGATTTAGGTACCAGTTGAAGCAAGTCACTCGCACCTGTGCAATGAAGACCCCAACAACCTTCAACTCACCTGAGCCTCATTATACCATCACTATAATATGACGCATATGCCCAGAAGTTTTATAATGTCATTATAATAGACTGAATTCTGGGGAAAAACATGCGCAGAAAGCAAAATGATGAATCATTGAGTCCTGTCAATCTTAGTTGTCAATCAGGGAAACCCACTCCTCTAAGAAAAGTGACCACTCAAAGCAAAAAGGGATAAAAACCCCGAAGTCTTTGTTACCAGGCCTTTGAGTCACACTTCTCTTGCTCAGGCCCGCTTCCAATTCTGGAAGTGTACTTCCTTTCTAATAAAACTTTCTTTTCTACTGCATTTTGGTGTCTTGCTTAATTCCTTGTTCGAGACATCAAGAACCTGGACAACGCGCCGGGAGAGGACCCCACTCTCTGGTAACACAACTCTTACGCTGTAGTGCTAACCTCATAAAAAATAGGGCCTCACTAAGCATGTGTTGACTGATAAAGATGAGAATATATGTCCAGAATACTGCTCCATCTCTGTCATTTTTCTGAGCGATCCCTTGTAAATATCCACGGGAATACAGACTTTGTGCAGAAGCTATTCTAAGGTAGACTTATTATTCATTCAAATTTAGCAAAGAAATTCACACCTTACCACTTATTCGATGACCGCATTGCTTTAAGGAATGCCCGGAAATTGCACTTGTCCGTGACACCCTTGGCAGGATTCCTGTTGTACTGTCTTTCAAGAAGCAACCAAACCTGTTTTTAAAAGTAGTTTCACTTAGAAAATAGAATAATAAATACTTACTGAGGACATGTCTAGCACTTTTTATACACTAATAAACATTACCAGGATTAAGGAAAATAGCACAGCTTCCCTGATATTTGATAGAAAGAACATTCTTACAGATAACTCCATAATATTTAACAGTCTCCGTAATACCTTACTTCAGCATTGTTTTCCTTTACATTCACATTTTTAAGTACAGAAAGTCAATCGTATTAAAGAGTTAATGATTTTTTCTATGTTCCTAAACTTTTAGGGAATTATGTTCCTATCTGGTAATTATTTTTATAAATACTTTTATTTACTAAAGAAATTAAATCAGTTATACAGTTGGAGCTGTATATGGTGTTCAGCTGGCTTATTAATGCCTTCTAGTCTACACCTGATGGGAGATTTCTTTTTGTCTTCGATGTCAACCTTTATGGTAATTGTATTATTCCGAAGGATTCCAGAAACTAATTCACATACAATCTGGGTTTTTTGTATAAGTTTAACATGTAGAGTCAAAGGATGATTGTCTAATTCCTAGTTTTTAAATTCAAATTCAACTATAAATGTTGAAATGGGAACAATGAAGAAACATTCATTCTGGATATTGGTCAAAATTTTAAAAAATTGTAATAAAACTGGCTGTATTTAGGCAACTTTATGACCTAATAAGATTTTTAATTACCAACTATTTTTCCAATGCTCTTACTTTTCCAAATTATCGGTTAATATATATTCACAGGTGCACACACATGCACATGAACACACACATTCCATGCATACCATAGGTGTCCAAACCGGCTCACGATAAACACCATTCAGATTTGCCCTTCCCAAAGTCATAAGCTCTAGATCTTATTCAATTATATTCTCAACAAAATGCTTGTTTTCTATTATATTTTCTTAGGACTGCACCATCTACAAACGTGATTATGAGTCAGACAGCAAGAATGCGCCCTTTTTCAGGTAAAATAGTCACCTGTTATTAAATACTTTTTTGAGACAATCTCTGAACCCAGTGATTTACAAGCATTTTCCTTGAAGCCTTTGATAGAAAACGACTAGTTTCCGCTACTTTAAGTGAATGCAGTAATTGTATAAAATACACATGTCCAGGCCCAAGAGACTGGGCTTCAGTTGGTTTGGGCTTCAGCCTAAGAATCTATTTACATAAGAACCACTCCAGATAATTCTGATGAAGCTGGTCCTTGAACCTCATTTAAGAAACACAACCTTGTGATCCGCTAAACCATTTTGCACACAATTGATTCCATTTTGAAAAACAACTGGCTTCTCCAATAATGAAATATCAACTTTTACCTTTTGTCTGTGTCATTAGTTGAACCTACAGGCAGAAAACTGAATAGCAAACACCGTGGGTGGAACGTGCACATCTTCTGACAGTGTTGTGCATTTGGGGTGTACATGGCAGTTACGTCCCCACCTCTGAAGAAGGTATTTTTATATAGTCGAGTCCGGCATTCTATAATATAATCATTGAGGGAAAAAACACTTATTTGGAACAAATGTAAATAATAACTTTTAATAGAAATGTATCTATGTTCTGAGCTTTCTTATTTCCTCCATAGGATACCCAAAGATCTTTACAACATGACTTTAATTATAGAGGCAGAATGAAACATTAAGGCGACTAAACAATGTATGATGTTAAAGTCATTTTATGGGTACTTCTTTGTAACAAAACTTGGTTGATTTTTATTGTATTTTTATACAATAATTTACACATAAATTGTATCCAAGATAATGCAATCCTAGCTTGGTTTTTTCTTGTCGCCTAGCATGCTATGAAAATATCATGCCTTAAAAATAACAATGCATGTTCTCTTTTTCAAAACACTTTCATAACAAACATCTTCCCTAGATTTTCACAATAAGTCTGTAAGGGAAGTTAGAGACAGACTTGATCATATGCTTTTGACTTTTTTCTTTTTTTAAGAAAGAAGTTAAGTAACTGAGGTTCAAGACAGTACAGCGTTGCCTGAGATCCACAGAGCTAATGCAAGTCTTGGGACATAAATCTGATTCTTCTGACTTCCGGTCTTGTTCCCTTTTCTATTGTGCAATGTTAAAAGTTGTTTCTCATCTAGGTTTAATTCAAGCAAACTAACAGTTATCGGGGATTTCTTACTTTAAGACCGAAAAGGCAGTATTTGCTCAATTTCTACAAGCTCTTTTTTTAATATAGTTTAAGCAAATGCACGCATATGCCAAATTGAAATGCGTTTTGAGCTATTTACTGTTTAGAATTGATCACTGATCTAAAGTGCTCTTATTCCACATATTATTAGAGTGTAATTACCTTTGCTATTTTACTCTTTCATATATTAAAGTGTTACCTTTAAAATATGAATTTGGCTTTACCTTGAAAAACTCACTTCAAAGTTTGGTTAATAAGCTTTTCCAACTCAGGTAGCAGTTGGTCAACTGTCCACTGACCATGGCATAGTCCTTTGACAACCTTATCCATTCCCTAAGGTGGTAGCCATGCTTCAATTTTAATTGTATCTAATTTTGTATTGCCTTTCAGGGAATGGGCATCTTAGACACATGTATTTCAGTAAGCGCTGAAGTTTAAAATTTCCTCTGCACTATCCCACCCCTCTGGGGATTCTGGCTCTGCACCCTATATGAGGACCCTCCCCAACAAGATCTCTTCTCTTCCTCTCAGAGGTGTGACTACAATGACTTACCCTTGGGTAAGACTTATATTTAGAAAGAGCACAGATCTCTTCAGGTGGAAGCTTCTGGGAATATAAGGATATAAGCTGCCAAGTGTGCAGGACTAAATTTGATATATGTACAAAACACTGAGTAGTTGGTCCAGTGAGAACACTAGCTGCAATATGGCCTATTTTTTAAAACAACTGGTGTTTTTGGCTAATTCATAACTATTAAGCAGCTATCCTCTCCCATCCCAATGCACAAAAAAAGGTACAAACAATGACTGGTGCTAGCCTGGGAGTCTCCATTCTGCAACTGAACTTCTGTGAACTGCCATGTGACTCAGCTAACGAAGAGGGCAACTAGAAATAGACCAACTTCAAAGGAACCAAAAAGAAAGTTCTAATAAGTTTCTCATTTACCCTTGTTAATTGGTAATAATGATGATGAAGGTGATGATGATGAGATAATGGTAGGTTTGTTTGTAGTGTATTTTAGAGTGTATATAAAACACATAAGTTACCTCAAAACATAAAATATTATTATATATTATATCACACTAACCCCTGTGTTCATGGACTTTGGGCAGATTATTTAGTCTTGTTAAAAAAAATTACATAATCAATGAGAAAAAAGTACTCTAATTTTTAAAAATTGGGTGGAGGATATGAAAGATAATTTACAAAAGAAATACAAGGGACTTGTAAGTATATGAAAAATTGTAAGAATGATAACTACAGGCCATTTTACTCACCAGAGTAGCAAATTTTTAAATTATCTAAGTTATCTGTATTGAGGTGGTGATTTTGGTTGCAAACGAATGAAAGAAAGGAAGGAAGGAAGGAAGGAAGGAAGGAAGGAAGGAAGGAAGGAAGGAAGGAAGGAAGGAAGGAAGGAAAGAAGAAGGGAGGGAGGGGGGGAGAGAGAGAAAGAAAGAAAGAAAGAAAGAAAGAAAGAAAGAAAGAAAGAAAGAAAGAAAGAAAGAAAGAAAGAAAGAAAGAAAGAAAGAAAGGGAAAAAAAGATCTAGGAAAAGGAAAAAAAAGAAAGAAAGAAAAAGAAAGAGAAAAAAAAAAGGAAAAAAAGATCTAGTTCAAAGTGACTTGAGTGCAAATGAAATGTTCAGGTTCAGACACCAGAGAGTCCATGATGGATCTGGCTTCAGGAAGAACTGGACGTGGTGCTCAGCTGTTCTCTTCAAGACACAATTTGTCTTCATATTTTTCATCCTGTTCCAGAGCATTGCCTTTGCTCCACACAGTGGCAAGATAGTACCAGAAGCTCAAGCCTCTATATTCTCCCATAGTTGAAGTCCAATTAGAAGAAAACAAAATCAGTCTTATTTCTAGAAGTGTAATCAACAGTCTTGTTGCCAGACTTTGGCTCTGATCAGGTCATTGCAGCCAGCGAGATGTGTGTGCACTTACTCCCTGTTTCAGGCCTGCTCGGGCCACAACCACAACTACATGAAACAAAATTATAAGACAGCAGTTGTCAGAAATAAATTAGGATACTGCTTCCAGAAAGGTGAAGTTATGCCAGGCCACTAAATGATCGATAACTATTCAAGTCAGCCTAATGATCATGCTCATCTGCTGGTGGAAAAAATCAATTTAGGAATAACCTTTCTGGAAGACAATTTCATAATGTATGTCATAAAACATAAAACCTTCAAAAAATATTTACACCTTTGTATCTGGTATTTTTCTTTCTAAAAATTTATTCTACAGAAATAGTTAAATATGTGTATAAGAATATGTGTAGAAAAATATCATGAATAGGAAAGAACACTTAGTTTCAAATAATATGACATATCTATTTGCATGAAAAGATAACTATAAATGGGAAACATCCTTGTTAAATGTGTAAATAGATATGTATAGAAAAATATCTGAAAGACTGAACAAAAGATTTTTAACAATGGTATAGACAATATGTAATTTCTCATCTTCTGCTTATTTGCACTAGTAATTGTCCTAGCATCATGATGATGATGATGATGATGATGATGATGATGATGATTATATTTTGCCAAAAGATAAAATTGAAATGGCCATGGTTCATAGCATCTCTGGCTCCTACTACTCGGTATTCAATGGATTTGTATGTGGTAATGCTTATGGTTCAGAAGAGCCATGAGGAATGGTAAACAACCATTATGGTATGGCCATCTTAAGTCAACATAGACTCCAAATTCACCCATAACAGTGGCACAGAGAAAACGCCACTCCACAATGATTCAGTGCCCAGAACCATCCCAATTCTCTGAAAATTTAATGGAGATCAAAACCTAGTGTTGAAACTAGCACTATTCAAATGAATGGTTTACTAAACTAAATTTAAACAAGGTACTTTTACTTCTGAAATGGTTCCCCAGTGACCTAAAAAGAGTCAAAGTATGGATAATGTACCTATTAAGATACTTGGGTCAGACCCACACACTATAAAATACTTAGCACTCTTTTAAATATATAGATAGCAGATTTCTTTTTAACGTTGCTAGAGGGCTGATTGTTTGTTTTAAGATCTGCCTTGTAGAGAGAACTTTCCAAACAGAAGTTTTTGTTAACACACACCCCAAGGCATTCTTGCTCCTGGGCTCCTCCCCATGGCATATCTAGGGCAATACTGGGAACTGGTAGTTGCCTCAGAACATTAAAAGGGTATGTCCTGAATTACCAGGGCCTGGCTCCTTCTCCAAAGCAGTATGTTCAAAAGCTTTCTCCAAGTGTGGCATGTCTTGCTTAACTACTCTCTCACACACCCTCCACTTATCTTTATGTCTTATAGATAATCCACTCACCACAGGAAACTGTAGCAAACAAGCAAATGAAATAAGCTGCTTGCCTGAATGAAATCATCCTAAAAGAGAAAGCAACACATACATAACTCTGCTGGTTGTAGGTCATATTTTCCATGAACCTTAATTTAAAATGATACAGATTTTCTTTTAATGTCTGAATTGTGAATCTAACCATACAATTGCCAGTACAGAGGACAAGAGTTTTCTGTATGTTTTGTGCGGGAACTTGGCACAAGGTGCAAAGTGAGACCTCTAGACTAATAATTGTGTTTATTATTCATTTACTACATGTGCTGTTAGTAATTACAAAAAGGGAATTGTTAGAAGGGAATTAAACAGTTGTGAATCCTCTTGATTTAAGTAGAAAGAAAATTATTGTAAATAACGGCAATAATATTCCAGATTCTCTAAGAAAAGCTTTCCAAATAGTCAAGCCCATTTTTAATTTTTAAATAAGTTAATATTCTTTTGATTTTAAAATTTCTTACATTTAAATATTTCCACATAGAATGCCAGTTCCTTCTACACTCTCTAAATATACAGAAAATTAAAACATAAATTAATAACTTCATCATAAAGTAAAAACTATACTTAATTTTTAAAAACCCACTTTAGTTGGAAGCAACTAGAATAATAGAAATTCTCTACCTGAAAGCACAATTCTGTGGTTCTGGACGTGAGGGTCTCCCGCCACTTAAAAATGAACGGTCTTCAAGCTTTCCTAATGTGGCACTGCAGGCAATATTTGTTTGGCTTCGATATTGACTTTGATTTTCTGCCAACTGTTTCAACTTTTTGTCCTGTCAACAAATCCTATGAACATCCCAGTCCTGTGTTCAGCTATTTAATATATTAACTATTTCATGTTAGGGCCATACAATTCATGCATAGGTTTCCATTTTTTTAAATGTTCATAACGTTTCCTGAGGTCAAGAAGCTTAAATCTAATCTTGCTGGACTTTTTCCAATTTAATTATCTAGATGCACAGCTGAATAAAATGTGGGTATGGATAGCTTATCCCAGAAGGATCTTATGGCAAATGGTGTCTATGCGTTCCTATACCAAAAGCAAAAAATCTAATAACATCAGAATTTTAAATATGGAAGGGAATTGGTGATGTTTATGTCTTGCCTCCACCTGATTCAGGACATAAGATATAGTAGGGTTGACAAACTACTGTTCAGAGGCCAATCTGACCCAGCACCTGTTTTTGTAAATAAATTTTTATTGGAACACAATGATTCCCATTCATTCATATATTATGTGTACTTGCTTTTACCATACGACTAGAGTTAAGTAGTTGTGACAGAGACAGTATGGCCTGCCAAGCTGAATAGATTTATTGTCTGGCCCTTTTCAGATAAAGTAGGTTGAAGCCTGTTGTCTAGCCTTCCTGGAGTGGAGTTTAGACTTCTCTGTCAGAATATTTTGACTGCAAAGAAGCATACTGATTTTCTTAGGAGTCTGTTCCTGCTCAGGGAGTTTTATTTATCTTTTTTTTTTTTTTTAATAAAAACTCTCCCTATACACAGAAATATACCTATCTCCTTGCAACTTCTATCCTTTAGTCCTCGATTTGCCTACTAGATCCACACAAAATAATTTATTCACCTTTTTGTGTCTTTTAAAATATGTAAAGACCATACTCACTTGCCCACTAATCTCTTTTGTTTTCTAAGTATTCTTCAAAATTTTGGTACATCATATTGACTATAAAATTAGATTTTTAGAGATCTGATTCTTGAGTAAATATTTAATGCATATTACTGCAATGCAGAACTGTGTTTATTAAAATTATAGGATAATGTCAATAAAATAATTTCTGGCTGTAATGAAGTAGTATATTTCAAATATGCATGCTGTACTGCCTTTTAGAGTCAGGGCATCAGATACTACACCAGCAATCAACAAAAGAAAATCTTCCGTGTGCATTATAAAAGAATCTAAATTTGGGATCTCATCAGCTACCAGCCTCAACAGGAAATAAAGAAAATGATTGGGACAAAACTACCCTGCCTCCAGATCACAGCACAAACCCTCAGTTTGTTTCCCTAAAAGGTATGATTACAGATTTTAACCTATTTAAATACACTTCTGTTTTATTTAAATTTTTCTTACAGTTAGATGTTATGTTCTCATAATACAATATAACTAAAAATTTCTTTGTAGATTTAGAAGGACCAAATTGGAATAAAGTTGAAAAGAGGCAGAGATAGGCAGAATTCTAAAATGTTCCCCAGAATATCCCAGGACTGATAAGATGAAATATAATCTGTCTGTCCATGATTATGCTATGTTACAGGACAAAAGCAGTTTTGCAGATGTAATTAAGATTACTGAATAGTTATTTTTGAGAAAATCAAAATGGAGATTATCTGGGTGGGCTTAATCTCATCGCATGAGCCCCTTACAGTCTTCTGCTGTTAATATACAAATCAGAGAGATTCAAAGTGTGCGAAGGATTTGACAGGAGATATACTCTCCATTGTGTCTTTTTTTAATTATTATAAAGTTATTGGGGTGACATTGGCTAATAAAATTATACAGGCTTCAAGTATACAATTCAATAAAACGTCACATATATCCTGATTGCATTGTATGTTCACTATCCATTGTGTCTTTGAGATGGATGAGGCTGGGAACAAGGACCTACCTCTAGGGCTGACAGTGGGCTCTGGGCTAGAACCTGAAAGAGAATGGAGAATTCAGTCCCACAATCACAAGGAACTGAAAACTTACAAAACAACCAAATGCGCTTGAAAGAGGATTCTTACCCAGAATTCCACAATTTGATTTTGAGCTTGTGAGACACTAAACAGAGAACCCAGCTAAGCTTATCTATTACTGACCTACAGAACTGTGAAATAATACATTAGCATTGTTTTAAACTGCTAAGATTGTAGCAATTTGGGAGGCAGCAAAAGAACACTAAAAGAGAAGGTAATTTCATCTGAAGCGATAGTGGACTGAAGAGAGGGGGTTTGGAGCAGGACACTTGGGTGATAAGGGAATGGAGAGTCCCTAACGCAGCATAGGAGCCTTTGTGGGAGGATGGGTCAGAGGCGGAGTGGTGATTTGCAGGGGTTTTTAGGAGGAGCTTTGGTTTTCAAAAAAAGAAAAAAATTCTGATTCTCTGATAAAGTTGCTTTGTGGCCAAGAGGCGGGCCTAACAAGAAAGAAACAGATAAACAAAAGCTACCTTGTGCTGACCATTAGGAAATGAATCTTAAGTCACTAAAAAAGGTCTTTGGTGGGCACTTTTGATTCATGAAGGATTTCAGCTATTCGTGTTCCTATAACATTAAATGTCCCTAGGAAGGGTCATATGTTAGGTTCTGTTCTTCCCAGTCCACCTCAGTGAGAATTGTAGTATTATATTTATAATATCCCTATAATAAATATGTGAATAAATAAAAATGAGTATTAGCAAAATAAATTTTAGAAGAGAAAAGAATACAATCATCCTTGTGGTCAGGTAATATCTGCAAGGAGAGGGCACAATAAAGGGAGAGCTAAATTGTTCTTTGCAAAAAAAAAAAAATTAGAGCAGTAGAAAACATGAGATGCCATCCTTAAGCATCTCATCTAAAAGGCATCTTCCATCACTCCTGTATCCATTGCTTGATTTTTCTTCATAGCACTTACCACTATCTGACATTACATTACCTATTTGTTCATTTTATATGGCTTTTCTGCTGTCCATTCCTCACACCTTGTTGTTAGGCCTAGGACTTCGGTTTGTTTGCTCTTTATCCCCAGAACCCCAAATTGCACTTGACAGACATTCATTGAATAAAAGAGTAAAATGATGAATAAATAAATAAATGAATAATGAATTAAAAAGGAAAAAGTAAAACAGACTGAGGACACTATGGTCCTTCCATCCACAGCTATGCACCATCTAATTCACACGGAGACTCGCTGTCACCCTTGTAAGAGAAGATGAGCTGCCAGTTCTTGGATGCCACTGAAGGTGATTATTAGACTAATAGACTGACTAATTCTCTGAATGTCCTTTGAGGGAAAAAGATGTCCTCCTGTGGTTCCCTCCAGTTGTATCATTACAAGACACTGCAGTCCTTGGCTTTCAAAAACAGCATTGTTTCTTGTACTAAGAAATCAACATGAGTTACAATATTGCTGATGGTAGTAGCAATTAATTAATGTAGGCATAGAAGGCTGAAAAGCCTGAAGCACAACCACATTCTCATGATGCTGTGGGCATATGAAAAAATAATTATACCTGAGTGGATTAAAAGTCTTAAGTTACTCTATTTCCATAACATACAACTTAAAACTTGGAAATAATTTGAGCAAGAAAGGAGCCCAAAACTACAATATAGTAAAAAAGAGTTGTGTCTCCTTTCCAGGAGAGCGCAGTAACCTCTCTTGCTCCTACATTTTCTTTACCATTCAGCTAAACTTGAAGTTTCTAACAAAGGAGATTAACCATCTCTTCTTCAATTCCAGCTGAGAAAATCCAAGGGGAGAATTCTGATTAGACACTGCAATTGATTGAAATCGAGAGAGCTTAAGAACATGGCAGCAGCATCAACTAGAACCACGTATTTACAGTGTTTATATGTTGAGGATAAAAAAGGATAAGAACAGAAGGAAAGGGGGGTGGATTTATCACAGGGCATTTCCAAAAATAAAGAGGGTATTGTTCCTAGAAAAAGAAGTTTTCTAGGCAGACTGGAAAAATATTTATTTCGAATGGAGACTGGAACCAAGAAATCAAGAGAAAACTGAGACTTGGAAAAGAAGCAATGGAAGAATTAGGAAAGATCAACAGCAAAGATGCATCATTAGAGACCAAAGCTGAGATTACCTATACCCTCCTATCCCAATTGCTATGTATGCATTCAAAAGTTGGACAGTGAGGAAGGCTGACGGGGAAAAAAATGGATTCATTTGAAATGTGATGTTGGAGGAGGGCTCTACAGTTACCCTGGACCACCAGAATGATGAACAACTGGGTCCTGGAACAAATTAAACCTGAAACATCACTGGAAACAAAAATGACAAAACTGAAGCTGTCCTTCTTCAGGCATATCATGAGTATTTGGGGTTCTTTGAAAAAGTCAATAATGTTGGGTAAAATAAAATGCAGCAGGAAAAAAGGAAGACCAAATATGAGATGGACTGCCTTCATAAAGGCAGCCACAGGCATCAGTCTACAGGAGCCTAACAGAGCTGTTGAGAACAAGGCATTGTGGACATCACTCATTCATAGGGGTGCCAGGAGGCGGAGCCGATTAACAGCATGCAAACACACACAGACACACAGACACGCAGACACACAGACACATAGACACACACACACACACACACACACCAGCATTTCATTAGGTGCTGGAAAGAAATACATTTAGATCTTCTAGATGCATTCCAAGGTAAAAACTGATCTTTTTGTGACCAAAATTTCTTTAATTATGAGATAGGTCAATTGCTCCAGAAACTGACATTCCCCTGTTGTCTATGACAATGACTGGAGCATCAATTCAATAGTCCATTATCACCAGAGGTTTCCCTGGGCATCCCTGGGACCCAATGGATGGTTATGGGTTTTGCTGATTCCCAGGTAGCCCTAAGAGATTTCACTTTGTGCTATCAATTGAGCAAAATGTTTTGGTACTTCTATTTCTCCTCTAGTTCACTTTTCAGAGTTAGGGAGACTCGAAATCAGTCTATGAGAACAGCACAAGGATCATATTTTTAGAAAGTCTGAGTGACACTGATGACATTGACTCAAATGTGCTATTTCTTTTATTACTCTTCATGAGTCAGTCACCCCCTAATTTATCTTTTAAAGTTATCTATACTTCAAACTGACATCAATTCTTAGAATAAAATGTTTAAAATGTATTTTTCTTAAGACACCTCTTTCAGGCAGGAGCATAACAGAATATAGGGAAACAAATAGACATTTGATCATCCTATTATTAAAAAAAATCAGCATCTTCATTTTGATACTACAGATTGTGACATAATTTCCCCATTCCAACTCTGACACTATTTAAGTGAATTTCCATATAAAATGTGAATAACAAATTATTCTGAGACTAAATGAACGTTGTAGGCCAAAAGGTTAACATTAAGCAATGTTTTACTTTAAATTTAATTTCACATCTAATGTAGGGTCACTAAAAGGGAGGGGGTTGCAAGGTTTAAATGTAAGTGCATAAAATAGAGGCATAATGCCAATTTCCATGAATAAAATTTTAATTACTCAAAGCATTCTGGAAAAGAGATTTTCTACATATATCTACTTTTTAGGTAACAAAATTAACCATATGATGAGACTCTTTTTCAACTCCATCGCAAACATCCTTGACTTTTTCTCATCATCTCAGCTGCTGAGTTGTCTATACTTGGGCTCTTTGGGATAGCAAAGTGGTGCTTTTTAAATGGCTTTGGTTTTGTAACCTCTTTTTTTGATATCCATTGAATATATATTCTATCCTCTTAATTTATCTACTATCGCTTTGAGAAAACCAAAGAAATAATCTTATTAAAAATACTCATTAAAAGAATTGTTTTAAAGTCACTGAGTGAGGAACAGAGATAATGTCAATGGAATTAAAATTCAGAGAATGTGTATCAGTTATCAGCTTGATAGGTATGTTTTGGAGGATTAAATTTCCTGGAAGTTTAACCTCAATGAAGAGAAATATTATTGGGTTACTAAATATAAATGAACAGTTTCTATTTTCTTTCATGATGGAAGAACCTAGAAGAATATGCCAAAATCAGAGGCAGAAGGTCTGTGTTCTAATGACACACTTACTTATAGGCCTGAGTTTCATATTGTAGTAGAAGTGTATCATATCGAAAGTAGATTTAGAATATATACCTCTATCTCTTTCCAGCCTTATTACTAGTGGCATGACTTTGGAGAGAAATTTACCTTCTCATTGATCTTATTCTCTTCCTTCTAATTAAAAGAAATATAACTAGATAAGCATTAAGGTCATTCTACCTCCAAAACCATTAATCAACCTTAGGAGGCACTGTGAAGGATTGGAGATTATTAACAGGAATTTTTCCCAGTAATATATGATATATAAGGATTATTGTGATGCTATATAGAATGAAATGAAGGCTGTAAGTGCATAGCCAAAAAAGAAATAGGAACAGAACCTATGAGTCAAATTATAAATGATCTATACTAGTTGATAAAATCTGAAAAGTAGTATCATAATAATTCTCATAACTGATATCAATGATATAATTTTAAAAACTTAAGTTCATTAAGTCTAAGTATTTAGGTATGTATGCTTTTCAAATTAAATGTATATGTATACATGCATATTTCAATTAAATTATATTCTTTGCATTTGTCAATTGAATTGAATTGGCTTATGGATCCCTCTCTTGAGAGACATGTTATATGCTTATTTGGGTACTGATATCAGTTAATTCTACTACGGGATCAAGACCAGGGATAAGAACTATGATGGTAATGAAAATATAAAAACTCTCTCTTTGGTAAATTTGACCGCAAGGTAAGTGGGGTCAAGAAAAAATTGGGTCCAGGAATGAAGAGTATTGAACTCGTAATCTATAAATTGTAACCGCAAATTTACAGGAAGATCTTATTCATGATAAAGGCACAGCCCTATAATATAGTTAGGGTTCATCAGCATTTCTTCTCTTCAGCTTGATCCAGATGCCATTAGCTGGACGAAGAATCAGCTCTTCAACCAGACCAAGTTCTTCTCTTTTCTGTGTGCACTCTACCCAAAAATGCCTCAGGATGCAGGAAAGAATGGTCTTTTCTTCCATGATGGCAAACTTTTGACCTTTAAATTAATGTAAATAACATCACTTTAATTATAGGTCTGTCTCAACTGTGAGAAAGATCACGTTCTGTTAAAGGAAGAGAGCAATATAACATTTCACTGTAGGCCCTGGGAGGAACAGAATCACTGGGGATGCTTGTTAAAAATGAAGATTCTTGAGTGTCCTTCCCCACTCCCATCTGAATAGCTGAGGTGGGCCAGGAATCTGTATTTTTGCAGCCCCCCACCCCCCGCTCCCGCCCTCGGGCTCATTGAAGCATGAGAGTCAGTACTCTAGAATACTTTTTTCCTGGGCCTTTAATGTTGTGGGTCCCAGCTCTGGCTGTGATCCAGGCTCACAGCTAGGAATAAGACTCCGGATTTAGAATGTTACATTGATGTAGTAGGGCGCCTACGCCCAGCTCGTGTAAGCATGATTCAGCTTGTTGTATTACGCATGTGTGGCAGAATGCCACTGTTGTGCTCTGACATATATGGAGCCCATGCAGTTCCCTAGCGCAGAAGCATTCCAGTCATAAAGTTGGTGCCTGCCATTTCATCTCATGTTGGCCCTTCGTGTGTTCTGTCAACTGGGCGTCTCACCATCAAAACCCTTCCTTTCTTGATCAACATTGACAAATATAATTTACCATAGAGTTACCAAATTTACTTCACTTTTATCTGTTTAAATCTGGTCTCATTTTACCAATGCCTGCATTTACATAAGTGATAAAATGATAGAGATACTAAAGCCAAAAGTGTTTATAATGCAAAGTGATGTGCACTGATTTTGTTTAAGTACTTCTTCTGGCTCTTTGTTTAGGTTTTGAAAAAAAAAAAATTCTTAAAAGCAATAAACACAGAAATTAGGTTAACTATAACTGTTATAAATAAGTTTTCTACCATTAAAGTATATTCTACTTTGATCCAAAATCTACAACATTTTTAAACTCTACCATAAAACTTATTATACTTTCTGTTATGGGTTGAATTGTGTTACCCAATATTCATATGCTGAAGTCCTAACCCTTGGTACCTCAGAATGTGACTGCATTTGAAGATAGAGCCTTTTAAGAGGTGATTAAATTAAAATGAAGTCATGTATATGGACTCTAATCCAATCTGACTGATGTCCTTCTAAAAAGAAGAGGTCAAGAAAGATACACACAGAGGAAAAACTATGTGGAGACACAGGGAGAAGACAGCCATCTGTAAGCCAAGAAGAGAAGCCTCGGAAGAAACTAGCCCTGCTGACACCTTGATCTTAGACTCCTAGCCTCTAGAATTGTGAGAAAATAACTTTCTGTTGTCTAAGCCAACCAGTTTGTGGTACTTTGTTACGACAGTCCCAGGAAACTAATATACTTAATGATAGTCATATTTTAAATCAGTAACGTATAGTAAAGTGGAGAAAAAAATAAAACAACTAGTTTTTTAAAAGGCTTGTATATGGTACACTACATCTCAAAGAAATTATTGTGGGCCTGAAAGGTTAAACCGATGACCTGATGGATACAAACCTATACAATTTCTGGGTCCAGCCGAGAAGGGCACATATGCGTATGGATGGCGTCCTTTCATATTCTCGGGAAAGAATCGCTCCGGCTGGAATTCCTCGGGATTTGGAAAGTATCTTGGGTCTCTATGCAGTGCATAGGCAATGATGAACATTTGAGAGCCTTTCGCAATGTTGAATCCCGCTGTCAAGAAGTAGTCAGTATGCCATGAAAATGGAGCTAGACAGACATTTAAAAATCCATGCTCCCTCCCACTTTAATTATAGAATTCTTACCAATTTCACAATCTTCATTAAGATTACGGACAATTATAGGGACAGAAGGAAAAAGACGAAGGGTCTCCTTAATAACACAGTCCAGATATTTAAGTTTCTTCAAGTCTTCTGAAGTAGCCGGACGATCAGACTTCCCTGATTAAAGTAAATACATGAAATAAATAAAATAAATGAAAGCACTATTTGGGCTTGGGGGATAGGACAAAAAAAAAAGAATACATTAATCAATACACTGAATGTTAAATACCTACAGCTAAAGGGGAATTTCTAATATTATAGATAATTGAAATAAAACGAGACAATATGTTAAGTAAAGGACACCAGACACAACAGGTTACAATTCAGTTTATAGAAAGTAGAGTAGTAAATTAGGTGTTGCCAGGGGCTTGGGGGAGAGGGAATGGGTAGCAGCTGGTGAATGGTACAGAGTTTCTTTTTGGGGAACCAAAATGTTTTAGAATTAGATGGAGGTGACAGTTGCACAACATTGCGCTAAATTGTACACTTCACAATGATTAATTTTGAGTTCTCAGAGCTTCTTCCAGAAGTGCATCCTCTCTTGGGTCAGATTCTTAGACTTTCTCCATATGTGTGGCCCCCAAATGCCCTTTGTCACCACCTGAAAAAAGAAACCAAGACTGCCTCTTGCCTCCAGGCTGGAGGAGACATCCATCTCTTTGAATTTTCCAAAGGGAGAAAAAGTACAGCAAGAAACCATTGAACATATTGATACAAATTGAAATAGACTGATTTAATGAACAAACCAGTGAATAGATTTTGAAGGCAGAACAGAAATATATCAAATTCCATTAACCATTTTTTAAAATTTCTGCCAATAGTGATTTTATTTTTTAGATGTACCTAAAGATGTTATTCATAAGGATTCATTCTGCACTTTCCTGCTCCTGCTGAGAATCTCCCTCACTTGACACTGTGAGTGGTCAGCTTTGAAATCCACTAATGATCCCTTAGATACAAAGAGTGCAGTAAGAGTTATTTACTATTATTTTCTTAGGACCACCAACCATTTTTTCAGAAGAGGTTGTAATTGACCGCCAAAATCCAAAATTGTGGGGTAACGAGATTTGTCATCCATCCCTAAGCCCACACTGCTTGGAGAGGGGGATGAAAAGGCACCAGAGTTGAAGTGACAGAATTCAAAGATACTAAATTAGGCCACAGAATAGATTTTCATTTTGATGAAGACCTTTCCTTTGAAAATAAAGTTATCTCCAAAGAATTTCATCATCTAAGCGAGAGTGGGGACCCATCCTCAAAATCCACTGAAATCAGTGAGGAAATCCGGAAAGAATTTGATAAAATATTCAACTCAAACGGAGAAATAAGCCAGCCAGAAGAGGTGGCATGAGGAACGAGAGAGATTCTCTCCCTGGTTTTTGGCCATTCTGAAGCAATGCAGATGAGCTGGGAGATGTCATCAAAGATGACATTTGGCAAAATCCAATACAGTACTACTTGGTTCTGGACATGAATGATGAATAAGGGGAATTAGAAGGAAAAGATGAGGAGGAGGAGGAAAGAGAAGGAGAAAAAGGAGCAGGAGGACTGAAAGATATTGATGAAGAAGGGAATAAGATAAAGGGGATGAAGGAGATGATGAGGGAGAGGAAGGAGAGGAGGATGGAGGAAATAAATAAGGAACACTGATGTATTCCAACCTTATCCTTTAAATTTTTTTCCATTCCTGGGAGCCTCCCTTCACCCCTGTTCCACCTCTTAGGCTGAGTCACTTTGCTCTTGAAGTCTCTTTTCTCTCCTTTGCACCCTAGTCCTCAACTTATTTGAGGACGAAATACCTTGAACAAAATACAGCGGGGAAAGAACCTCTACCCCTTTATGTTCCACATTCATTTTTATTCCTTCCTGTCTCAACAAAAACTTTATGGAATCAATACCATGATGCTCTGTGGGGAAAAAAAAGAAAAACTTTCTGTTCTGTTAGCTCTGCCGGAGGCTAAGGGGTACTCAGCCCCTGTGTGGTAGTACATAGAATTCTAGCTTTTTCTCTTCTTTCTCTGTATATTGGGCTCAGAGATTACAGTGTGTGTCTATGTGAATATGTACAGTTAGCATTTACCAACATGTATTTGTCTATTTTTTCTTGCATAAAAAAATTTTTTTAATTAAAAAAATGGTTTTATAGAGGCAGCAAAGGGTGAGTTTGACATGTCTGGAAGGGGTAAGTGGGCATTTTGACAACAATTATCCTCCTTTGGTATGTTTAATTGTGATGTTAATGGACATCACTGTAGTTTAAGATGACACTTTTAAAATAAAATTCTCTCTTAATGATGACTCGAGATCTGCCATACATGAGGAGAATGGTGAATCTGTAGAATCTTATTTAGAATTGACATTATAATTTTGTTCCCATTTATTCTTACATTTTCTTTTTGTCTCACTGGAAAGAAAAGATGATGTTCATTTTAAACATTGAAAGTGTACAAGTTGTTTTGTTATGATAAAACTAAATGCGTACACACACACATACATACACACAAAGGTTAATTTTATGTTATGTGAAGTTTACTTCAGTAAAAAAAAAAATCACAAGAGGAATTAACATTTGCATCTCAACATCTAAAAATCGGTTGCTTGAAAAATTTTAGAACTAATACTAGGAGTGGAAGAAAAGTGATGCGTAATTAGCAAATACATGAGAAGCAGCAGAATAAAGATTCTAATAATAATGGTGTTACTAATTATGTGAGATGAAAAAGCATTTGTTAGACCAGCAATGAGCTAAAAATTTAAGAGGATACAAACATGTGAACGTATTTCAAAAGAGCTGAGTTTTTAGAATACCAAATTCTCCCACCAGAGGCAATCTGAGAGAAATTAAAACTGATAGGGAAAAAATAAAATGAGAGAAACGGAGTTGAGAAGTTTAGATTGTCTCCATTTTACAACACAGTGTTCTGTCTTTATATGAAATTCCAGTCCTCACACAATCTGAACATGAAATTACTTTTTCAACTTCGTCTCCCCATATGTCTACAAAATGTTCCAAATTCTACCTGTCCCTCACTATAAACAACCGTCCTCCCAACCTGTCCACTCTGCCATCACTCATCCGGTTCCTTTCTTTCTGGAACACCTTCCTTCTCCTTTTTTCTTTATTTTTCCTTCTTCACTTCTTTTCTGGGTGAAAATGCATGACACCACTATGTTGGTTGACCAACCCAACCTGTTTCTTTTCTCCTTCCAGCTGTGGGAAGCCAGATGACATGTGATTAAACAAAAGATAAAATCGATGGCACAATGCATAGACCCTTTGTGGTAGGTTCACAAATATATCAGGTCTTAATCTCTATAACTGTTACCTTATTTGGGAAAAGATATCTTTCAAGATTTTATTAAATTAAGGATCTTAAAATGGGGGTATTATCCTGGATTATCCAGGTTGGCCCTGAATGCCATCACAAATATCTTTACAAAAGAGAGTCAGAGAGAGATTTTATACACAGACACACACACACACACACACACAAGAGAAGATGATGTGAAGGTAGAGACAGAGATTTGAGGATGTGGCAATAAGCCAAAGAATGCTAGCAGCGACCAGAGGTGACAAGGGATGGATTCTCCCCTAAGGCCTCCAGAAGGGGTACAGCCCTGCCAACACATTAAGCTCAGCTCAGAGATACTAATTTTGAATTTCTGGTGACCAGAACTGTGAGAGAATAAATTTCTGTTGTTTAAAGCCACCCAGTTTGTAAAATTTGTTACAGCAGCCACAGGAAACTAATATGTCCTCTAATCCCTCCTCCCCTTTCTTCTTGCCTTGAAGATAAACATGAGACCTGGAACAATAATCAAGAGAACAAAAGCCATGATGGTAAATGTGAAAGAAAAAGAGCAAACTGGAGACTCTGATAACAACCCTATTGGTATCAGCCTGGGTCTTCTTACCTACAGATTGCTAGTTGCATAGTAGAAATTTCTGTCCTATCAGCTTGACCTGTCTTTTCTCTAGTTTGTAGCCAGAAGTGATCCTATATGAAACCAGTTTCCTCGACCCCTCAACTAGCTTCACCTGCTCCTCGCTGCTCTCAAAACACCTTCTTCACATCATTCAAGCACACAACCAGGACTTGCTTTCATCTATTAAGCAGTGAGATCCTTGAAGACGCAACATTTATCTGTGCATCCCCGGCATCTAGCCCAGTGCTGTCACATGCCAAGCAATTAGCAAATGCCTGTAAATGAACAGATGAGGCCTTGCAAAAGAGACTGGTTCCAGAGAAGATCCCATATGGAAGCCTTCTTGCTTATTACAGTGTCCTTAGAACAGGTCCTATTGCACATCCTTAATGAGCAAAAATTATATTCGCTTCACTGGACTTGGGACCCACAGTGTGATCAGTGGAAGAACAAAACATACCAAACACTTCATCCAGTTCATCGTCCAATTTTTTCTGGACTTCTGGGTAAGAACCCAATAGATATAAGGACCAGTTTATTGCAGCTGCAGTTGTATCATGGCCCTACAAAGGTGAGAAAAAAATAGTTTAAAAACCAGAGTGCAGAGTTCTATTAAGATTAAGAATGCTAAATCTATTTTGAGCTGTCTCTAGATCTGACAGCTGTAATGTAACCCTGGAACGCAACAAATTAATTTTGTACACTATTTCACCTTGGTGATAAACAAATAAACCAATTCCTTCAAAGTGGAGGCCTCTGCTTAGAGAGACATTTCAATGCTACACTGAGTTACATATTTGGCGAGAAATGGCTGGGTTGGGCTAAGAAGAGGCATTCTAAGAGAACTACATTCACTAGACTGTCTTTAAGAGAAAGAAAAGCCTGACTTTCCTGAGCCAACCTGCCAGATCTGTACTACTTTCTCTTATTTCATTTTTAAAGTAGGCTTTACCTTTCATTGCTGGAAGCCAGGGAGTGTATGTGTGGTTCTGAGCAATAGTCTCCATGTCAAGAAGTTGATAAATAGCCTCAATTAATCCTTGTTGAGTTTTAGGCAAAATGCTAAACACTTTGCAGAAACTAACTCAATTATTTTCCACGAAATCTGCATGGAATACTTGATACCGCTATTCACATTTAGAGATTAAAAACTGAGACCTGAAAAGAAGCTAAATGACTTTCCCAAGGCCAGACGGCCTAACAGGAGGCAGAGGCAAGAATGGACCCCTTGGAGTGTCTGATGACAAAGCAGAGCCCACATCTTCCCTTCAGGAAACGTGGAGGATCTGGGGTAAGGAGACTCCAGCTCCAATGCTAATGTTAACAGCCTGGATAACTTTATTCTCTGCCCATTCAGTGTTTTAGCCCCTTATTTCCTATCTTCATCTCACCAGGAAATTTCCACATGCAAAAATGGTTAGTTCTTTAGAAAAAAATATATTTGGAAAACCAATAATACTATTATAGCTCTTATGATCAAGACTTTTAGGGAAAAAGAAAGAAACAACAAACGATCTCCTCTATGGAAGATTTTGCTTTTTTATTTTCCCATGTGACACAAGTGATCGTTGTAATATTTCATTCTCTGGGCAGGAATCTCCGAAGCACTTGTTTTATAAAAAAGCTCCGAAGTTGAACTGTTGAGAATTGTTCTGCAATTTAAAAAATATATATAGTTTATAAGTCTCTGATATTGGTGTGTCCTTACATTTTCTCACATTCACAGCTCCTTTACAGAAATGACTCTGAACTCCAGACAAGAACTGGCCAATTTCACTAAGTTGTTTACTAAAGTCGCAGAAGGAAGTGCTCTTGCTAAATAGCTTTTCTTAAATTTATCAGTGGAAGCCTGATCCAAATGTGTAAGAGAAGCTGCTGAACTTCCGTTTCATTTTGTCTGCTACCTGAAGACAGTAAAACATAAAGCACGGAGTTGGCAGAAGCCCCTGGTGGAACTGGGCAGGCGCAAAAACCTGGGGCATGCGGGGCATGGCAGCAATGGCCTGTATCGACCTTATGAAGGAGGTCACAATGTTGTACGTGGGCCTCCTATTTGATCTGAAGAAGAAAAAAAATAGAATTACAGCTAGAGCTGAAAGAAAGAGATCATTAGTCTGGTTGTTTTTGTGAAAGTGAGAGGTTGCTAGCGGGAGATGGATGTGCATGTGCACATGCACATGTGTGTATGTATATGTGTAAGTGTTTTTATGAGAGCGCATGCATGTGTATGTGTGCGTGTGTATATATGTGCATGTGTGCATGTAGGGTGGAGATGTAAGAAGGTCTCTCCACTTCAAAATTGAATAATAGCAAATATCTGCTGCATGCTTTCTATATGCTACGCACGATTCTTAGTGCACTTTAGAAATTATTAATCTAATCCTCATAACTATTCTGTGAGGCTCGCGCTATAACGATGAGGACATGGAAGCCCAGAAAGGCTAGAGCAGGTGCCCGAGGTCATACCTCTAGCACAGGTTAGAGCTGGGATTTGGCCCCAGAGCCCACACACTTAATAGCTCTCCACTTTTTAGCTAATTAGATGTCCATTTTCTGTATAAAGTTTCTTTTCGATAAAATGCTCTGCTTAAAAATAAATTTAAACCCACTGATCTAGTCTACCTGTCTATTTTACACATGGGGAAATTGTGACAGAGCTCTGCACTGACTGGACAATCTTATACAGTGGTCAGCACAGAGCCAGAAGTCATGTGTGCAGGCCCTTCACACAGCTTGCTACTACAGAGCCTTACCCTCCCACACACACCCCAGGGAAAATGCTCCTGCATCAGCACTGCATTCAGAGGGCTCTAGGTTTAGCAAACGCAATGTTTAGCATGCAGTGGGCCATCAAAAACTACTGATGCCTTTCTCTTTCCCCCACTTCCAGGATATCAACCCATGGTGCTTTTAAAAACCATTTCTTTATTTGGCAATCTACATGTTGAAAGATTTGCTCTTTGTGATATTCAATATAGTGAGAATTATCTTTGCAAAAAACTCACTTTTTTTTTTTTTTTCAATTGAAGACCAAAACTCCCTTTAGAATCATGAACTGGTTAAATTCTCTATTGCAGGGCTCTTATTATCTTCTTTAGTTAGGGCAGCTCATAGCCATAGCTAAGCGCTCATGTCTAGAACTTCAAAAAGGAAGGAGTGAAGAAACAGACTTGTTTCCGAGATTTAAAGGAAGCGATAGAGAGAACTCCGAGCAATTTCTGGCTGCTCTCTGCTTGGAAAAATCTGATGATGGGCCTTAGGTTTCCTTGAGAAAAATATGCATCTACCACTGTACCCACCTGGAGTCAAAAGCTTTTGGGGAAGAAGGAAGTTGATCTGGTACTTAATTATAATTTCTAATTATAATATAATGATTATTCCTCAGTTATATTAAGCTACTTTAAAATATGATTAGACTTTTAAAAAATACTAAAGATTTTTTAAAAACTGGAATTTGTTCAATGATACCTGAAATTAACACGATGATACAAAAATACCTCAAACATGAAAGTGTCCACTTCTTCTTGAATATCTTTATGACTTAGCTTGTTCCCTTGATCATCAGTCACACTTAATAGCAAGTCGAGAAAAGCCTTGCGTTTCTTTTTAGAGAGGGCAGTGTCCCTGTCTTCACTTTTAAATTCTTCCTCTTTCTTTATTTCATTGGCTCGGTTAGCGATGACCTGTATGATTTAAATAATCACATGCTTATATTTGGAAGGTCAGATTGCCTAATAATACATTTTCCTAGAAAATATACTAGCTTCTTTGATTTTTTTCAAAATCTTTCCTGTTCTTTCTAAGTCAACAATAACATAGGCTTTTGTGAAAATACAGTGAAGTTTCCTGTTAACATCTTTACGGCATTATTTGATAAGACTTTTAACAAAAAATTTAATGTCAGACAAATTTATAATTACCAAGGGCTATTTTTGCAGTCTTTCTAACATAATAACGGAGTAATAGTCTACTAAATAGTGCCCTAGAGATTTGAATGAGCTGATGAGAAAAAGTTTAGGTGGTGGAAAGAATGCAATCATTATGTAATCTTTCATTATGTAATCATTAAGTAATTAGATCACTCTGATTACGTGCTGTATTGGAGAAGAGAATCATTCTGTATGCTTGCTGTTCCTTCTGTCTAGAAATGCTCTTTCCTCAGATGCCAGCATAGCTGGCTCCCTCCTTTCATTCAGGCCTCTGCTCATTGTCACACTATCAGAAAGATCTTCTCCGATCACTGCTACCCACCCTAGTTCCTAGCACTCACTCTCTTCTCAAGTCTACTTTACTTTTTTCCATTTCTCTTACCACCTGACATTATTGTATTTGCTAGTTAGTGTCTTTCTCCTCCAAATTGAATATATCACCCACAGACCAACAAATTTGTCTTTGTCCATTGATATATTTTCAACCTTTAGAACACTGCTTGTCATTTTAAGAATGTTTATTAGATATTTGCTGAGTGAATAAAAGAATTAAAGCCCATAAGCTTAATTTGGTTATACATTTCAACCTATTAGGCAATTAATCAAACCTGCTCCTAGGTGGTTTGAATGAACAGATCCCAAAGTTCTTTGAGGTCAAAACATCATTTCCTCTTTTATTCTTGGTGGAACCCTTCCTTATTGCCTGGCACTCAATATGCAATATTCAATAATTATTAAATGAATAATATTGTCCATTCAATTTGGAATTCATTAATTATTGATATTTGTATTGATGCATGACATTTGAGGAAAAGTGTAATTATACTCATAGAATACAAACTGTTCATCATTCTCCTATTGCCAGGTGGTTACGTTATACACCACTGCAGGCAATTCAATCCAACATCTCTTTCGTCTGACATCTACTGACTCAGTGACCACCTGATGGCAGGCAGTACCTCACCATAAGGAAGCAATTCCAATATATTTTAAAGCAAAATTTACAGCAGAGTAAATAAGGCACTTTATCAGCACATTTAAATTATAATTTGATGTATATTTTCAATTAAATTTTGCTTTTTCATAAACAATTCTTTAACACAAAGACTAACATCTTACATTTAAAACATCACTATCTCCTTGCTATTGAAAATTAAATAGTAATATCTAGTTAATTTTTATCTTTTCCAAGTTAAGATACTGCTATAAATGCCCTTTGCCTTTGAAAACTACTGCCTAATTCAAACATTTTCCAGAAGACTTTTAATAACATAGATCCTGACTTTATTGTTTTTTTTTTTCTTTAACATAGCACCCTGTTTGTTTATAAAGATCATAGCTCATGTGACATTTTGTAACTATTTATTTATAGACGACCTCCCTTACTAGACTAACCTCTTTTAGGGTAGGGAACATTCATCACTATATTTCTAACACTTGGTACAGCCTTTGCCACCTTAACAAGTGCTTAATTAATACTTGGTGAATACCTAATTTCGTAACGAACTATAGAAATGATCCCTGAAAGTATAGCCTTTGAAACCTAATTTAAATGTAATCATGCCACCTACCTTTTCCCATTATTATTCAATTCGAGTTTTATTTTGAGGCCCAATGTTCCTACACTTGGGTATGTTAACAAAAATAGAAATCGTGAACTTATAACAGTTATAGAAGTGGGTTGTAGTATGCGTACACAACATTGTTAATACATTTAATGCCACTGAATGGTACATTTAAAATGGCTATCATGATAAATTTTATGTTATGTAGCTTTTACCACAATAAAAAACAATCAAGAACTTACAGTGTTAGTAAAATTATGTATAATCTGTAGGCTTTTTCTGTGTTCCCATCCTTCTTTAAACAAAAGAAATGAAAAGTCAAACCAGAGCCAAGGCATCTTCATTCTTTGAGCTATCGTAACACTTATCCTATAAATAGAATAAAAATACATCAGCTGATACATCAAAAATGTGTTTTGCTTGTACATCTATTTGGTGCCTGGTCTCAGTGAGAGTAATATCTGGCAATGATGATGATTTGTCTTAGAGGCTACTAAGAGTGTCATGCTTTATGCTCAACAATGAAGGCATGGGTTATTACACAATCGATGAAGCTTAAAAATTGAATGGGTTCCTTAGAAGAACGACAAGTCCATTATAAAACATCCTTAGTAGATGGTCATCTGATCTCTACTTGTTTCTTCAGGAAGAGCTCCAGAGCTCCTCAGCTGCCTATAGCTCTTATACCACAGGGTGAGATGAAATCTCCTCCTTTTTAATGTCCCCTCCTTTTTAATGTGATTTCCTTGATCACTCCCCTAGAGTGACAGAAAACAACCGGTTGTCTTCTTTGACACAAAAGTCATCATTAAATACCCATCTGTCACACATCTGTCCTAAGTACATCCCTCATCATTTTCAGTGATAGAGCAGAAAGACCTCTACATCATTTCCTTTGTGACCGGCTTAGAGGCCAATTCTTCAGAGAGGCCTTTACTAGTCACTCAATCTGTGGGACATATTCCTGTTTTCCTCTCTAATATCAACTTAATTTTTTCTTTCTAAGCAATTATTATAATTTATAAGTTTAAATTTATTTGTTTCAATGCTCGTCTCTCCTGTCATTCTGTTTTGTGGGACACTATAAAACTAGTCAGTACCTTGTGCAATGAGTGGCAGATTGTATACATGCTAAAGAAATATTTGTTAAGGTAAAGCAAAATGAGCAGTGGATTTAAAGATAGAATATATCCAAATAAATCCTGGCTCTGCCTCTTAATAGCTGAATAATTTTAAGCAATTCTTTAAAGTAAAAATGATTATTTCTAGTAAAAAATAATACATAATCAGTACAGGAAATATGAAAAAGGAGAGTAAATAACAAAAGACAAAAAAAGAGAAGCACATACACAAAACAATAATAATCACAGCTAATATTCTGGTATAGTATCTTATAGTTTTTTCTTTCTATGAATAATTTTTTATACCCAGTGGTTATCATACTAAATTTTTTTTCTTTTATCATAGCATCACAATGTAATCTTTGAATATATTATAAAATAATCATTTAAAATTACTGCATAATCTGGCTGTGCCATAATTTATACAACCATTCCTCCACTGTTGAATACATGCTTAAATGTTAGGTTGATTTTTAGTATAACGTTTTATTTTGAAACAATGAAAAAGATACGACACAGACAAAAAATTAATAGCAATATATTTTTTAAAGCCCTAATCAATAACAATTTAAAAATAATTAAAAGGACTTCATTTACCTAGAAACTGCACGGACATACTCAGAATCATTATTATTTTGTGCACCGACATTCTTGCCCATAGCTGTTTCTGTAAAATACAGGTGAGAAGCAACCATTCAATTCATGCACATACCTTGTGTTTATTTTCCAGTGGCAAACACTGGAAAAAAGACATAAGTTCTTGTATATCTAAGGATTGTTCTTTCCCCCTTTTCGCACTTGTACCTTTTGCTTCTCCTACTCCCTGTTCTTGCCCCTTCTTTGCTGTGACCTTCCTGGCATGTTGGCTCTGTGACTGTTCTGCTCAGAGCCCTAACTAATGGTGGCTGCTGCTGCTTAGGTGGCTAACTTGGCAGTAGGACCACCCAGAAGAGTCCAATATCCTTTCTAATCACTTCATTGGCTTTCCAATGGAACGTTGTTTTCTATTTGGGCCATTTTATCTTTACACCATAGTTTTATAAACAAATTGATGAGACTTACCACAGATTATATCTAAGGTACAAAGGGCGGTGTAAATAAGGCAGTTAAATGCTTCTTGGTTAACATGTTTTTCAAACTTCTTAACCAATATATTTGCTTGTTCATTCATGACATCTAAGAAGTCCTCCAGAATTGTAAAATGGAAAGAGGGTGTTAACATTTTTCTCCTAGAGCGCCATTTGTTTCCAGTACTAGAAATATAATACATGGTTCCAAATAAAAGGAAAGCAACATATAAAACAAAGTATAGTCAAGACAACAAAATTCTCCTGCAACAACTTAATCTACAGATTCTCAAATGCTTTGGTCAGAATGACAAAGAAAGATTCATATATAGTTACAGACTGTGAATATTTTCAATATTGTTCTATATTACCAATATTTAAAAGAGCATTCATAAAAATTGAAAAAGTTTTAAATTTTTCTAAATTTCTAAGTTCTGAATTTCTAAAAATTAGAATTTCTTTTCCCCCTCTCTATAAATACCTTAGTCCTCAGAAGATCAATGTGCTCCATGAGTCTACTTTGATCTCTACTATCTTCTACTTCTCCAAAGTTCCCTCAAAGATCCTGCCTTTCTCTGTCTCAGTCAATGACGTTCTATTTCTGGATGCCAGCTCAAGGACTGAGATTACTGCGCTCCATATACTTCTTTGAATCTGACTGCTTTTTTCATTTAATTTTCAAGATTTCCCTGCTCCACACTCTCCTTTGCTTTACTCCATCTATACATCAGAACCTTCTAATCCTTCTTGGAACACTGGTGATCATCATTATTGAATACTGTGGCTGGAGATTACTATACATCCAGGGGTCCTGCCTATCAAAGGCCCATTTTTACCTAACCTTTCCTTCTAGGTTCTCCCTACTAACTGATAGCAGCCTTGCTATAGGAAGACTACCTTTAATTAATTCCTGATATAAAAAGTTACCCACAAAACAGCTTTACAAATTTACATTGACATACCTTGTAAGAAGTCCTAAGCCAAGCCATGGTTCCAGGAACTTATACAAAAAGGATTTGTCAATTTGCTTTGAACTCGATAAAATTACCTTTAAAAGAGAAAAAATAACAGATATGTAGATGTCAAAACAATTTTAATTATAAGAATACCTAGCTAGAACAAAACTAATTGTCAAAGCAACATTTCATAACTGTATTTCTCTGTAAATCATTTTCATTCCTGTGCCTCAAAGAAATTCCATTAAGAGTTTGGAATACTTAACTGTTGTTCAGTCTTGGGGACTAAATGGAGTTGAGAGAAAGGACAATGTCCAAAATTCTCTGGCTCCTGCCATAAACTTGGAACCAAGTGGAATCATTTATTTACGGGGAGGGGTATGTGGAGATGGGGCAGGTGAATCCAAGGATGACTATGTCTACGAAGATGGAAATCACAAGTTCATTTTCATGTATGTTGACATGGACGCATTCAAGTTGCCATGGTCTGAAAGCATACATGAAGCTCAGAATAAAGGATTGTACTAGACGCATGTGAGTGTTTCCAGAATATAAGTAACATCGGAAGCCATGGGAGTTATTGGTTAACCTGGAATCAAAGTGAAGTAGAAGGGATGAGCACATAGGACTAAGCATAAAATGCTTCCCAAGCTTCTGGCTTGAGTTTTCTACTTTGGTCTGATCTCTAGCTACACATACCAAGCTTACTTATACTAAGTCGGCAGTAGCTAAAATCCTATGTTTGGCTCTCTCACTATTTACTCTGGACCAAGATTCTGCAGTATGGTACTAGAGAAACTCTAACATTTGCACTACAATAACTAAGAGAAACAGATCCCAGCACAATTCCCTGGAAAATGCTGTTTTAAATTTATTTTGTTCTAAAAAGAGGTCCGTTTATCTCATTTTTTGCTCCCTGACCCAAATCCCTTTCACGTCAAACCACAAGATAATTTCCCCAATGTCACAAAAATAAGTAAAAAGTCTAAGATCTTTTTGAGAAGCAATTTCAATAACATGGATTAACAACATCTGCCCTATCGATATCAGGTTAGCATTTTGTTTTAGGAAAATTAACTTGAAATAATAAATGCATAATGGATATAAATGAGATTCTGATCATCCTGAAGCAAACACTCATATTTTATAGTCTTATATTTTGGGAACCTTAACATAGTATGGGGCAGATAATATGTGCTCACCTGATGGAATCATCTATTTATGGTTCTATAAAACTGTATCCTTCTGCAGACTTTCCATAAAAGAATAAATATATTGGGACCTGATAACAAATGCTTATAGATATCTGGAGGCTGCCACTCTCCCCAGAATTCAGACTATATCTGGAAAGCATTAAATGGTTCCTACATAGACTAAAATATTTAATGGAATGCTCAATGTACTGAATTCAATTAAATACAAGGACATATCCATTATGTTTATTTTGAGATTCTCACACCATCAAATTATAGTGAAATATTGATCATATTTATCACAGACTCACCTCCACAGCTTCTGCTTTATACAGGGCCACTATTGGCATTGGCCCAAACCAGAAGTTCACTATTGGCTGGTGTCGGAATTCTTCAGTGAAGTTAATTATCTGCTGAAAAAATTCTGGGAGAAAATATTTAATTTTAAACAAATTTCTTATTGTGTCTTTTAGGTTCTTTACTTTTTTACTTTTGGGTGACTCATTTAGTATCTTCCAGGCCTCTCACATCTTAAAGGTAAACCACGTGGTCCCTATTAAATGATTTAATGAATAAATTATAAAGGTAATTTAATTTAATTTAATTATGAGTGAGCTGACATATGAAACGACCTGATTAACTGTGAAATACCAAACAATGGAGATGCTTGTGGTGACCACATTTGCAAGTGTTTATTTCTGGGCTCTCAATTCTGTTCCACTGATCAATGTGTATGTTTTTTATGCCAATACCATATTGTTTTCCTTACTACAGCTTTGTAATATAGTTTAAAATTAGGAATTATGATGTCTCCAGCTTTGCTCTTCTTAAGATTGTTTTGGCTGTTCAGGTTTTTCTGTGGTTCCATAAAAATTTTAGGATTATTTGTTCATTTTTGTGGGTGTGTGAAAAATGCTATTGGAATTTTGATAGGTATTGCATTAAATCTGAAAATTGCTTTTAGTAATACGAACATTTTAACAAAGTTAATTCTTTCTATCTTTCCATTTATTTGTATCTTCAATTTCTTTCATCAACGTCCTATAGCTTTCAGTGTACAGGTCTTTTACCGCCTTGGTTAAATTTATTCCTAGGTATTTTATTCTTTTTGATTCAGTTGTAAATAGGACTGTTTTCTGAATTCCTCTTCCTGATAGTTCATCATTAGCATAAAGAAATGCACCTGATTTTTGTACATTGATTTTATATCTTGCAACTTTACTAATTTGTTTATTAGTTCTAACAGTTTTTTGGTGGCATCTTTGGGGTTTTCTTCATACACAATCATGTCATCTGCAGATGGTGAGTTTTACTTCTTCCTTTCTGATTTGGATGGCTTTTATTTCTTTTTCTTGCCTAAATGCTCTGCTAGGACTTCTCATACCACGTTGACTAAAAGTGGTGAGAGTAGGCATCCTTGTCTTATTCCTGATCTTAAAGGAAAAGCTTTCAACATCATTTCTATGGTGTTCTTGCCAAAAATGCATAACCTCAATCAATTATGAAAAAACGACAGACAAACCCAAACTGAGAGACCTTCTACGAAGCACCTGACCAATACTCCACGAAAGTGTCAAGATCATGATGCGCATGAAAAGACTGATAAATGATCACAGATTAGAGAAGACTAATATTGGAGAATATAACGCAAGGGAACACCACTACCAAATGTCAAGTGAGATCCTGGACTGAGTCCTGAAACAGGAAAAGGACATTACTGGAAAAAGTTACAAAATTTAAATAAAAGCTATAGTTTTGTTAGGAACATTGTACAAATATTAATTTTCTAGTTTTGATAATTATACTAATTGTGTAAAACATCACCATTAGAGAAGGCCGGGTATATGGTATATGTGAACTCTGTACTATCTTATAACTTTTCTATGGTTCTAAAATTATTTAAATAAAAAAAAGCTTTAAAAGAAGAGAGGAATTTTCCTTTTCTGTACCTAGAGAATAAGAAGTTGGAGGAAGATTAAAAAAATATTTTGTTAGCAGGAGAAGAACACATACACACAAATATATAATAATTGCCTCTTGTCTATATTTTCTTTGATATAGGAAAGAGGCTTATAACTTAAGAGTTCAGGTGGTAGAATCTGGGTTGGAAATGTGACAAAAATATGGAAGAACTGTGATAGTGAATATAAGAAAGAATATTTGAGCTAAAAAGAATTACTGAGCGCATTGAGGACAATATAGGGATTAGATAGGGAAATTTGGTAGTCTATCAAATCGGTTTCCTATGACATGCCCAGAAATGAGAATGAATATGATGGAAGTACCTTAATTCTCCCTGAAAATACAATATGCTCACACATGCATTACACAAGCAAGGAATATGCACCTCCAAAGGACCCACTCCCTACTCTCAAGGAATTTATAATCACGAGAAATGGTTACTTCTGTAACTGAGCACAATACCAGATGAAATGAAATGGGATGTTAGAAAAGAAGTTTAATTCTGAAAGGTAATTGATTTTCATTGAGAGGACTGGAGAAATTTCATGAAAGAGATGGCATTTGAGAATAAATAGTAAAAGAATGAGTTGGCTTTTTGTAGGCAGAAAACAGGGAAGTTAGGATAAGAGAAGAGAATGTAAAGCAAGCAGCGAAAATAGCAGAGCAGAGGCAGAGTTATGAAAATTCCCTGTAGCTTCAGCCAAAGCATAGGATGGGGGATGATCACATTGGTAGATGAGATTGGAGTGCTGGGTGGCTATGGAAGTTTGAGTGCCATCTATGCGCTCTAGGAAATAACTGAAAGTTTCTGATGGGGACTAGCATGACTGGAGTTATATTTTAGGACAATAACACTAATAATGTGTGTGAGATCTGTGAAGAACTTGGGTACGCTGGGCCCACAGGAAGTTTCTAAGGGTGAAAAAAGGGCTGGGATTTGATGCGGTCAGGATTAGGGACCTTGGCCCTGCTTTATGGTTGGCACTTGTGTTGGGTGTGGGGAAATGGTGACCATCAATCCCTACTAAAACATTGAAATAATGAGAAAAACTTAGGAGTCAACATTTTCTGTGTTGATATCTGTGAGGCCCCAGGCTGGGGAATGCAGCCTTGCATCAAAGGTCAAACAATGACAAAACTCTCAGTCAGGGAATACCATATAAGGGCGTGGCACCTGAGTTGAAACACAGGATAGTAGCCAGAGACTAAAGGATTAGGGCATAGGGCCCAGACCTCAGAGAAAAGGCCTGGCAAAGGTTAAAGAAAGCCCAAAGCAAACAACACAAAGTCAAGGAAGGACTGGAGTCTTAGCTGGGGAATTGACTACATGTTAGGAAATTAGGCAGAAACTGCCAGCAAAATCTAGATAGAGAAGGATGAGGAGGAGCAGGCTAGCTGGGAGGGTACCCAGGTCTTCTTCCAGTCAAGGGGAATGCCCAATTGCTAGCAACAAAACTAATACCAACCCCATTGTGAGGCTATTGATATAACTCTTGAAATTTTGACAGGGATGTTTTAACATGGAATTTGGCACCATAGACAAATTGACATGGCATAAAAAACAATTAACCTTTCAACTCTCTTTCAGTGCCAATAAATGAGCACGTGTTCAGTTCATCCCTGTTCCTCATTCATCCCTTATCTTCACCCACCCCTGGACTTCTGGGCAAGCTGCTCAAAGTGCAGTGGGAGCGGAGTCAAGGCTTAGGAATGCCTCTTGCATATGATACTGAATAAACAGTAATTGTTTTTTAAAGGGTGTTTGCACATTTTGGCACATAAAAACCTAATAATAATGATCCTAAAATAGCTAACATTCATTATGTCATATTTTATTTGCTGTGGCAAGTAATTATACATACATTAGTGTCGAGGGTTTTAGATGCCTAATGGCTTTTATGCCTCACGAGTTAGATGAGAAGCACATTATGACAGTCATTAAACAATTGAGGAAATTGTGCACGGTTAAGTAACTTGGCCAATATCACAGAGCTAATAAATGGTGGAACCTGGCATTGTACCCAGGGCACCCAGATCCAGAATGAGCAGTCTTAACCATTATACCGCACTATTTCAAAATGTCTTCCAGTCAAAACGGTTGGCTAAGCTGCTATGAAATAAAAGGTAGGTCAGATCAATATTATCAAAATACCATGTGTCAAAAAAATATCACATGTCATACTAATATACTGACTGCCTTGGTGTGGTCTGACAGAGGAGAAAGAGAGGTCTAAATCTTTGGTTTAAAGGTTTCAGATCCCGTAGCAGGGAGCGGCTGCGGAACGCAGGCATTGACATGAGAACCGGGAAAGCAAGATGCTGGCGTTCAGGAGGCTAGCTGGACGTCGACTGCAGTACTCCAGGTGAGATTACTGAGGCCAGAATTTGGACAGTAGCCATAAAATGAAAGCCACACCCTCTCGTATAAGAGACAATGTTACTGAGAGCAGAAAATATATTTTAGAATGTTCCGATATCCCCAGGTTTGCTAAGCTCAGTGCTTGGCACAAAGCAGGGTGTCAATAAATGCATGATTGACAATGAAAGAACTTACCCTTACCAAATTCTAGATAGTCATCTAATAACACATGCAGTAAATTTAATCCTTAAAAGAACTTGTAGTATAGTTACTTTTACAAGTAAAGGGTAAAAAAAAAAACTTTAGAGAGTTTTAAATAACCTCTCGAACAACTTGGTTGCAAAGATGGAAAGCTGAGCTAAGGTTTGTCTGATGCCAGTACTTGCTGATGGATTAAAAAGTCCCTTTGTAAAAGATAGTATATTGTCATTCTCTTCACTTAGAAAGTAACTCCAAGGAGAATTACTTTTGATAATCCATTCGACTCAGTTTGTTTTTGAAACAGGTCTTATTCACTAGAGATTTCAATTCTTAGAAAAATTCACCAAAGAGTCTGATGAGATTTCTTAAGTAAATCGTTTCTTGTTGAGGGTCGGGTGGAAAAGGCTGGGGAGGCCCTATATTTCTACAAAATTATTTTTAATACTATAAAGCCTTAAGGTTGAAGGGAAGATTAGCTCTGTTTTTAGTATTAGCCAAGATGATTTTTACAAATGTAGTGGTCATACATCTAACTGTGTTGTTGCATCACTTATAACATTTGTCACATTGATGGTGGTTGGTGAAAAGTTTACTGGGATTTCTACTGCCAGAAACATTTTCAGTAGTTTGGTAGCTCTCCCATGATGCTTCATCATATTTCTGTGAAGTCGAAATGACAGCATTATTTTTATTTGGAGAAAGAGACATGGAAAAGAAATAATCATTCAAGGTTTGGAGTTTGTTCAGCCTCTAAAACTACTATTAACAATCTGAGGAGGAACTGGGTTCTGATCTTGGCTCATTTAAAATATGTCATTTTGGGTAAATCTGAATTTTCTTCTCTGGGTATCTCAGCTAACATGTCCATGCAAATGAAGTGCTTGTAATGGCCTGCTGAAATGTGAAAGGGTTAAAGAATAATTAAAACCTGAAACTGGACAAAGGAAGTCTATAACTTAGGCCTAGTTTCTGGAACCCCTAACCACATTCTGTTAATCATGAAACTTGTAACAATGAGCTCATACGCTAACTGCCAATTTTAGCCTGTGTAACCCTGCTTGCTTGCGTGGCATGAAAAATAATCAA